ACTGTTGTCAAAAAACACAGTTTGGTGTGTGTTTTGTTTTAAAAAAAAATATAGGCAAAAAGCCACGAGGGGAAGAGTCTGGATCCAAGGCCTTGGGACGTGAAAGGCACTATACAAATGTAATTTTGTTGTTGTTGGATGGTTGTCGGCCAGCACACTGGAAGGATCTTCCTTCTCTTTTCCACTAGCGCCGTGCGTGGGATCTTTATCAATGATTTTTTTTTAAAAATCCAAAAAATGTAAATAAAAATAATAATAATTTGGTCACTTAACCCGTGACTGTTTGTGGGTCGCTGCTGTGCGCGATGGGTTGCCTCGTTTCGCCCACAGTCAATTCAATTTACAGTATTAATAATCCTTGATATAACGCCTTATCACGTCTTCGAGACGTCTCAAAGCGCTCCACAGAATATATTGTGAAGTGAATTGACTGTCTGTGTTGTGGGCGAAACAACTGCGGCGGACAATTGCGCACAACGGCGTCCCACAAACAGTCGTGGATTGAATATTCCGTGACGACCTTGAGACATGTCAATGGCGTGATAAGGAGCTATATCAAACGCAAGGATTATTATCATCATCATCAATATCCGAACAGGGCACAGACGAGGAGCTTGGTTCAACGTCTCATCCTATACCCCACGCCGTTAGGGCTTTCCCCCACTGCACTGGGCTCGACTGTGAGCTGAACATCCCAAAGTGGGGCTCGAACCCAGAAACGTCTGAGCCAAGCGACGAGAGAGCTACCGAGTGAGCCAAGTCAACGTCCTAAAAAAAAAAAAATTGGGTTTGGATATCCTTAAGCACGGTGAAGGCTTTCCATGTGTGTCACACTGACAACCAACCGGCGGACTAAAAAAAAAATTCCTAATAAAAGATGGAACTGAACCTGGTGAGCAATCTGTTGACACAATCTATTCCTGTAAACATTCCTTGGCATTTTTCTTTTAACACAACAATATTACAGCTTTGCAATGCTGACACGCACATCATAAAATATTCATTCCAATCGCCAGAATCAAGTACAAAGTATTAAATGGTTATATTCCAGTCAAATTCACGAAATTACAAACGGGTGAGTCATGCGATCTGCATCTTAACAATTTGATGCCTTTGGTGCAGTAAAGTATTGCTCACTGTTACAGAGAGCTGTTCAAAGCAGGAATTCCCCACGGTCAACTGGTTGCCAGTCTGCGCTGATCTACAAACACACAGTCACTCCACTTTACGCTCATCCTGTGAAGCCCTTTTGAGATGCTAACATTTGCATCTGCTGCATCGCCTTATCACGTCATTGAGAAGTCTCAAAGCGCTTCATGGAATATATCGTAAAATAGATTGACGGTGTGACATGTGGGCGAAACGCGGCGGCCAATTGTACGCAGCGCAGCGTCCCACGAAACAGTCGTGGATTGAGCGATCGCATTTTTTCTCGAGGGATTATCACCCCCGGAAAGTGATCTGCCAATCGTCTAACAACTGGGTTAGACGATTAGGGCGGGTGGGGGGCCAGAGTGTTGCCTAAGGGAACGTTAGTCACAGCATTCGTGGAGTCCCGTCGTGGTTAGTGCACTTGCCTCGCAAACGAGAGCGCCTTGGTCTTGTGGGACGCTGCTGTGTGCCAAGTTTCTCCAACAAAATACGCAGTCTACGCACTTTACAACATATTCCGTGAAGCGCTTTGAGACGCTATATAAGGCACTATAGTCGAATGCAAGGAATATTATTGTTATCCTTGCGTGAGGGGCAAAGAACTCAGCCAAGTCTCGCATTCCTGGTCGCCGTGTCATCACCTTGCAATGTCATGAACCCGGCAGTGGATTTGGGTGATTTAATACTTTGGAATTAATATTTCATTCCACGCGGGATTAACATGCCGAAGAACGACACCATGTTATTTGACGGAATGCCGGGACCTCAGGGGCTGTTTACAGTGTCCGTTCCTCCGTCCTGTTCCCTCCTCCGTCGCCCATCAGACCACATCGAGCGGGAAGTCATCTCCCCTCACAACCACCACCAACAAATTACGATTGCATAGCGCCTTTCACGTCGGGAGGATACCCCCGAGCTCTGTGCTAAAGTCAAGGATGTTCCCCCCCCACCCCGGGCTGGGGGCTTGGGTTCAGGAGGGGTGCAGGGTGACTGAGGGTGCAATCGAAAGGAGGGTCTTGAGATGGGCCTCGAAGGAGGCCAAGGGAGGGGTTCTCAGCAGGTCACAGAGATAGGGAGGAACAAGGTCACGGAGGCTTTTGAAGGCGAGGACTAGGATTTCGAACTCGATCCTCCGGGGGAATGGGGAGTCAGTGGAGCCGGCCGAGGAGTCATGGAGCTTAGTATGGGAGAGGACTACACCCTTCAAGGCCCACCTCTTCGATCGCACCTTCAGTCGCCCTCCTACCTCTACCCTCCCTGCCCTCCACCCCTCCTGACCCCAACCCGGGTCCAAACCCCTGATTGTCCGGCTCCCTGGGACGTCCTCATTAGTTGAAAGCCGCTGTATAAATGTAATTTGTTGTTGCTGCCGCAGATCTATCCAACTCACAGCGGGAAGAGGGGGAGAGGAACGAAGGACCCAACGTACTCAAAATAATCCAACTCCAATGCTACCCGTTCAGACCCCTTAAAAGTTACGGGGTGGTGGGGCGGGGGAGGGGGGGGGGGGCGAGTGGTGAGAGAGCGAGAGAGAGAGAGAGAGACGAGAGCTGAAACACTGACTAGTTCTTGAATAAAGCACTAACCACATCCTGGTCTTACTCAATGTTCTCATTCTTTTTCAGCCAAGTCAGGATTCGGGGCCTGGTTGATTGCTGGCTGACTAACCGTTGGTTAAGCCAAGGACTAACCCCTGGTTAAGCCAGGACTAAGCCCCGGTTAAACCCAGAGCCAAGCTCACGAACCCACCCACCTGCTGCAAACGATGGCTGTTGTGCGGCTCACCTTCCGCACCGCACCCCCCCTGGAATGCCCCGATTCCTAACGTCTGCTAATTCATAACCTCGGATCTTTGTCGCCGCCGCCTCACCCTTCACCCTCTCCCCTCGCGCTCACAGAAAAACCCCTCACTCGCTGCGAAACTGCAATCGGAATTTATTGATTGATTGATCGCTGAGATCGTTTTAACGCGCGCTCCCGCTCGCGGGCGCGCACGGCGCACACGGTCGGGGTTATTTCTACCTTAAAGGCAAAAAAAAAAAAATCGACCCGCAATCGGTTCCTCAGCCACGTTTTTGTTCGGAAAATAACGGTCGCGCTGAAACGAAGCGACACACCGCCACTTCGCGACGGCGTAACCTCTCTTCTAAACCATTCGATTTTCCGACGCCTTCTCGACCACTTCGATTTTCTTCCTCCGTCCCTCCCTCCCTCCCGCAAGATTGATATCCTTTTTTTTTAATATTAAAAAAATAAGAGGTGCTGAAAAACGATTTAATATCTCCCCCCATCCCCCCCCCTCCACCCCACCCACCCAACAAAAAACCCCACACGCACAGCTACGAAGAAAAAGGTGTTTAAATTTCAGATCAAACTGTGTTCTTATAGCCCTAAAAAGAACATATATTGAGGATTAGACATTTGCTAAAACAAAACAAGTGTCTGGAGAAAGGCTGTGGGTGTGTGGGTGTGTGTGTGTGGGGGGGGGTGTGGGGGGCTGTGGGTGTGTGTGTGTGTGTGGGGGGGGGTGTGGGGGGGGGTGTGGGTGTGTGTGTGTGTGGGGGGGGGGGGTGTGGGGGGGGTGTGGGTGTGTGTGTGGGGGGGGGTGTGGGGGCTGTGGGTGTGTGTGTGTGTGTGGGGGGGTGTGTGTGGGGGGGGTTCTGTGTGTGGTGTGTGTGTGTGTGTGGGGGGGGGGGTGTGGGGTGTGGGTGTGTGTGTGTGTGGGGGGGGGTGTGGGGGGGTGTGGGTGTGTGTGTGTGGGGGGGGTGTGGGGGGGGTGTGGGGGGGGTGGTGGGTGTGTGTGTGGGGGGGGGGGTGTGGGGGCTGTGGGTGTGTGTGTGTGTGTGGGGGGGTGTGTGTGGGGGGGTCTGTGTGTGTGTGTGTGTGTGTGGGGGGTCTGGTGTGTGGGGGGGGGTGGGTGTGTGTGTGGGTGTGTGTGTGGGTGTGTGGGGGGGGGTGGGGGAGGGGATTATATAGAAAAAAGGGGTCTATTTCTTTTTAACGTTAATTCTTTTTAAACGGCACATTTGCACATTTACACAAATAATACATCTTTATTCCCCCAAAACAACAACAACAACAACTACTACTCGGCCACACGTTTAATGGGAGTTCCCCCCCAACCCCTCTCCCCCCCTCTCCCCCCCACAGTATAGAGGGGTCACAGTGACTCCGCGGCTCTGGAGCTGTTTTGCACCGTTGATGGTCGAGAGCTCCAAATGTGGCGACACATCAAAGGGACAGAGAGGGACCGCGACCCCAACCCCGACCCCAACACCGACCCCAACACCAACACCGACCCCAACACCAACACCGACCCCAACACCGACCCCGACCCCAACACCGACCCCAACACCGACCCCAACCCCAACACCGACCCCAACACCACCAACACCGACCCCAACACCGACACCAACACCGACACCAACACCAACACCAACACCGACACCAACACCGACACCAACACCGACACCAACACCGACACCAACACCGACCCCAACACCGACACCACCGACAACACCGACCCCAACACCGACCCCAACACCGACCCCAACACCGACCCCAACACCGACCCCAACACCGACCCCAACACCGACCCCAACACCGACCCCAACACCGACCCCAACACCGACCCCAACACCGACCCCAACACCGACCCCAACACCGACCCCAACACCGACCCCCCAACACCGACCCCAACACCGACCCCAACACCGACCCCAACACCCACCCCAACACCACCAACACCCACCCCAACACCGACCCCAACACCGACCCCCAACACCGACCCCAACACCGACCCCAACCCCAACACCGACCCCAACCCCCCCCCCCCCCCCCGGGCTGACCTTGTCCAGGCAGTTGACTTTCTCGATGGGGTACACGATTTTTCCACATCTGGCGCACTGGGGGTTCATTTTCTTCGCCTTTTTTTCCCCCCTTTTCTCTCTCTCTCTCTTCCCTTTTTCTCTCTCTCTCTTATCTCTCTCTCTCCTCTCCCCTCACCCCCTCCTCCTCTCTCTCTCTTCTTCTCTTCCTTTTTTTAAAAATCTATCTCTCTGTCTGTCTTTCTCTCCTCCACCTCTTCTCTTCCCTCTTCTCTCTCTCTATCTCTCTATCTTTCTCTCTCACCTTCTTCTCTTCCTCTCTCTCTCTCTCTATCTATCTTTCTCTCCCCCTCTTCCTCTCTCTCTCTCTCTATCTTTCTCTCTCACCTTCTTCTCTTCCTCTCTCTCTCTCTCTATCTTTCTCCCCTCCTCTTCTCTTCCCCTTTCCCCCCCTCCCTCTCCCCCTCCCTCCCCCTCTCTCTCTCTCTCTCTCTCTGCTTTTCTTTCGTGTCCTTTTCTCACTCTCAAATCGTTGAACGCAAAGCAAAAAATCGCTCTTTTTCTTCTTCCTTTTCCCCTCTTTCCTTCTCTCTCTCTCTCTCTCTCTCTCACCTTCTGTTCTCTTCTCTTTTTGTGTTCTTTCAGTTTCTCCCTTTTCTCTCTCTCTCTCTCTCTCCCCCTTCTTCCCTATTATTCTCTCTCTCTCTCTCCCTCTCTCTCTCTCCCTCCCTCTCCCCCTCTCTCTCTCTCTCCCTCTCTCTCTCTCTCTCTGTGTGTGTCCCCCCCCACGACCTGACCACAGAATAAAACGGGAGGAGCCCCCAAAAGAGCGAGTTTTCGACGAAAATTACACGTTAAAACAAAAGTTAGCAAAGCACACACGTTTCAGGATGAGGGAGGAGTGAAAGGGGCGTGGAGTGGAGTGGAGTGGAGTGGAGTGGAGTGACTGCACTTCCCGACAGAAAACCAGTTGGGAGTTACAAAATAACGTGTGAGCGGAATGAACAAGAATCGCTTTGAGTTGTTTGCGAAGGTGGGGCGGTGGTGGGGGGGCGCGGTCGGAAGAATAAATCGAGAAGAAAACCCCCGAAGGATCCCCGAAAACCTTGGCCCCTTTTTTGATCCGGCAACGATTCGCCCGCGGATTCCACGCTCAGACCACTTTGCCGCCGCTGCGGCGTTAATAATCCTTGCATTTGATCCAGCGCCGTATCCGCGTCCTCGGAAGCGCTTCACGGAGTATACTGGAATCGTGGATCGACTGTCCGCACCATTAGGATTTTTTTGGAGGGGGTTTTGACCCCCTCCGCCCCCCCCCCCGAAAAGCGATCCGGCGATCGACTAACGGTTACGCAAACAGAGGCGCGCGCGCGCGTGTGTGTGTGCGTGGAAAACCCGAGCCCTTTCACTTGCGAGGGGAGCGTGCAAACCGTTACGCTAAGGATGAAACGTTAACCCGACCTCCCCATCTGTGCCCCGTTCGGGTGGATATTAATGATCCCACGACGCTGTTGGCAAAAGAGAAGGGAGTGTCCCCTTCTCCCCCTCTCTCTCTCTCTCTCTCTCTCTCTCGGCAATCTGCTCAGCGATCAAACCGAACTCCATCACCGACCACCCGCAGTGTTCGATCGAGTGTTAGATCTGTGAGCAATGAGCCCAGACAGGAGACATTTCGTAAAGGACCTTATAGCGGTGCGTCATGTTTGAAATGGGATTGAGGCAATCGACCTGGAACGATACTCTCAGTAACAACAACATGTATTTACATAGCGCCTCTCACGCAGTTCTGATGAAGGGTGTTGGCACCAAAACATTGACCCACTCTCCTCTCTCCATAGATGCTGCCTGACCTGCTGAGAGCGTTCCCAGCGACTTCTGTTTTTGTACCAGGAAGTATTTCTTTACCCGGGAGTAATTAACAACAAGAGCAACTAGAATTTATATAGCCCCCTTCATTGGGAGGAGCACCTCAAGGTGCTTATTAATGACCAGAACGGGGTTACCACAAAAGGTGGTTGAGGTCAGGACACATGGATTCAGTTAAGAAATAGCTCGATGTTGTGATGGGGGAGGCTGGTAGGTGAGGATTCTGGAGGGTGAGATCAGGTAAGGAGAAGGCCCTTCTTTATTCCAGTCTCCCTTAATAACAACAATATTCCTTGCCTTTGACACAGCGCCTTATCACGTCGTTGAGTTGAGACGTCACAAAGCGCTTCACAGGATAGACTGTAAAGTGGAGCGACTGTGTGTTTTGTGGGCGAAACATGTGAGGGAGCGGATGGCGTCTGTAATCTTAACTGTGTGGCCGGATTCCCAGACAAAATGAGCAAAGCTGTGCCGAAGGACCCTGAAATGTAAGCGACTAAGGAAGCCAGCCTCGCCACCGGGGGGTCCCTGAGCCAGCTCAGAGACCAGGGATTAGCTTGTTGTTTCCTGTGTTACCAACCAACAAATTAACATGTGAATTAGGCCCCTTCCCTCCCTCCCTCCCTCCCCCCCCACCCCCCAGGTCACAGACACTGGAAACAACGAGAACATCGAGCAGGAACCTCGGATTCCGATTTCATCCAGTTTTTTTTTAAGTTAAGACACACAGAGATCACAGCGAGAGCTGACCACGTTACACTGAGCTCTAAGTATTTTTTGCACTTAATTACTTCCTTTTAAAGACTTTGACCACCGCCCCCACCCTCCACCCCCCCAGGAAGCCATTGTCGCCTGGAGCTCATCACTGCCCTCTCCTGGCCCAAATGTCCATTTCCTTTCTTGTTCGATGTACCATCACCACAACAACAAATTACATTTACAGCAGCGCCTCTCGTGTCGGGGGCACGACCCAAGGTGCTGGACGGTCAAGGATTTAGCCCCGAGCTAGGGCTTGGGATCAGGAGGTGGGGGAGGGCAGGGAGTGGGGGGGGGGTAAGAGGGTGACCGAAGGGGCGGTCGAAGAGGAGGGTCTTGAGATGCGGCTTGAAGGAGGCAAGGTAGGGGACGAGGTGAAGGGACTGTGGGATGGAGTTCCAAAGAGTGGGGGCCGGAGGGGTGGGTGACGTGGAGTAGGTCAGAGACCACTGAGGGGAGCAGCAGACAGGTCGGTTTGGGGTTAGCAGGTCACAGAGGTAGGGAGGAGCAAGGGCTTTGAGAGAGAGAGACGTCTCAAAGTGCTTCATAGAATATACTGTTAAGTTGAATTGACTGTGTATTTTGTCACTATATTTTGCCAATCGGTCACTCGTTTCATGGCTGTTCGTGGGATGTTGCTGTGCTTAAATCGGCTGCTGTGATCGGGTACAATAACAGTCGCTACACTTCACAGTAAATACCGCGAAGCGCGTTGAGTTGCTTCGAGGGTTATGTAAATGTAAGGATTATTGTTGCTGTAGCTCTCCACCATACGCCCATCCCTGGCTCCTTTTCGACCCATCTTCGAAAACCTCGTCAGAACCTCTCTTTGACCGCGTTTTTGGGTGAACACCTTTAAACTCCCTTCCTCTCCTCCGTGCGCGTGGATTACCCATCATCTCCGCGAAGAGTTTTGAGACGTTAGTCAATGTGAAAGGCACACTCGACCCAATTTTTCTCTCTCTCTCTCTCACTCTCTCCTGCCTCCTTTTTCCATAGATGGAGTTGTGAACAGCCAACCTGCACCTAATATTCTTACCAGATAAGCAGGGTGTGTTCCTCTGGAAAGAGAGAGGGAGAGAGCACATTCCAATGAAATTCCCATGTGTAAATCATTCCCATGACTCAGTCTGGTTTGGATACTGTTAAACACAGCGATGGGTTTCCGCATGTGTCAGGGTTAACCGGACGCAATTGAGAGCAAGAACAAAGTAACTTCCTGTGTGCAGTAAGCGGCTGAAACAGGATGTTTAGTTTCATTTTTTTCCTTCCAAACTTCGAGCAAAATATTACAGCTTCTTGGCATTCCAGGGGCTGGGAGGACATAGCAATCACCGCAAGCAACAAACACCCAATTTGGCTGAGTGACCGAATAAAAATAGAGGGGAACGTGTGGACATCAGGTTTTTTAAAGAAAGATTGAGAGAGAGGGGGGGGGGGGGGGGGGGGGGGGGCGAGGGATTTTAGCAGAGAGTTGTTGAGGGTGTGGGGGGAAAGGGCAGTAAAATGGGGGCTGAAAGCCTCGCTCTTAAAAAGAGCAGTGCAGACACGATGGACCGAATGGCCTTCTTCCGCGCGGCTAATTGCTCGGTGGCCTTGCCTTCAGCCACTACGCCCCGAAACTCTGGAACTCTTTCCCTCAATCCCTCCGCCTCCCTCACCACTTTCAAATCCCGCCTAAAAAAAACACCTTCCTTTTTGGCCGTGCTTACGGCCACCTCCACCCTCCCTCTCCCCCAGGCTCGGGGTCAGACTCCACCACTGTCAAGCGCTTCGAGGCACTTCCCCGCGTGAAGGGCACGATATAAATGCAAGTTGTTGTTGTATGGTTCAATCATAGAGACAAAGGCTCAGCCTCTGATGGTGGGGTGGAGGGAATGAGGAGCGAGTTGGCCCAAGGTAGTTGGGTGGGGGGGGGAAGTGAGGCTGGAGAAGATCAGTGCGGTGAGGGTTGGGGAGTTGTGTAGGAATTTATAAGTTGAGTTGATCTGCTGGGAGAGGACTAGACAGCGGAGCTGCTGAGACTGCGGTAATGGACATGTGTAGCTTCATACGGATAGGCAAGTATCAGTCAAAGGTGGTTTGTGGGACATGGCAACCAGTTTTACTTGTATAAAAAGTCATTACACCTGGGAATAAAGACTTGTCAAGAAACTTTGACGTGATAAGGCACCATAAAAATACAAATGCATTCTTAAGGTATAAATGTTTGACTTATCTATGAAGCAAGGTCCAAGAGGTAAACGTGTTGAGGTTGTCAAATACGATCAGATGTCCTGCTGGGTCAATAATACATAATAATAATAATAATAATCCTTGCATTCGATATAGTACCTACAATTCTAAACATCTCAAACAGCTTCACCGGGAGTTGCTCTGAGACTGCAGAGACTGTCAGATTGTTAATGCGTGAGATGGATAAACTTCTGTAGGGTGAATGATCTAATTTCTTTGTGTCTTCTGTTCATTTCTTGTAGGTACCCCTTCAGTGTCAACCTGGCACAGTTGATAGCACTCTCACCGCTCAGACAGAAAGTTGTGGGTTCAAGTCACAAGTCAGGACTTTGAGCTCAGAGTCATTCATTTCATTCGTCGCCTTTGCTCAGCTGTCTTAGGACTTCTACACATCTCTCGTCCCCTCTGCTTCACAATTGGCAGCCATGCTTTCAGCCACTGCACCCAATCTCTGGTACTCCCCGCCTCAGTCCCTCTAACTTGCCTCCTCTTTGCCCGTCTTCACATCACACCAGAAGGCTTTCCTCTTTGTCTGTGTTTTCAGTCACCTCCCCTTTCTTTCTGCTCAACACCAAGCCGCCCGCTGTTCAGCACTCTGAGGCGCGTGACAGGTGCTGTATAAATGCAAGTTGTTGTTGTAGGATCATGCTCCAATGCAGTGCTGGGTGCAATATAACTTGATCCAAATCAAACGTGTGTTAGTAGGTCTTTATTGTCAATCGAAAATCAATAATCTACCACTGTAAAATCACGCACTTTGTCCCACTCCCAGTGTCCTTTTGTACTTCCTGTCCTTCTCCTTATTGGGCCGTTCATTAATTTTCTTAAAGGATATCCAACACTAGAGATGCACTGCGTTGTCAGAGGTGCAGTCCTTCGATGAGATGTTAAACCGAGGACCCACCTGCCTGCACATTAAAGCTGTGGCACTACTCAAAAAGAGTTCCTCCGAGTTGGTCGTTCACTTCATGGCTGTTTACGGAATGGTACTGAGTGCAAATTGGCTGCTGCCTTTGACTACAAAATACACAGTCATTACATTTTGTCCACAAAATATACAACCAATTCACTTTACAGTATGTTCTGCGAAGCATTTTGTGATGTATTGAAGACGTGATAAATCGCTATATCAAATGCAAGGATTATTATTATTATTTATTCTACAGCATATCATGTGAAGATGTTCAACGTCATGGGAAGGTGCTGTTTTAAATGCAAGGATTATTATTCTTTGTGGTAACCTATCATTCCCATCCTTGCCCAACTCCACTGGCTTCCCATCAAATCAGAGGATACAGTTCAAGATTCTGACCCTTACCTTCAAAGCCCTCCATGGCCTTGCTCCCCCCTACCTCTGCGATCTCCTAACCTAACCCCCTACCATCCTGCCAGCTCTCTCAGCTCAGCGGGCTCCAGTCTGCTTCACGTCCCCCACCTCGCCCGCTCCACCATTGGCTGGCAGGCCTTCTGCTACTCTGCCCCCACCCTCTGGAACTCCATCCCACAGTGCCTCCGCCTCACCCCCTCCCTCACCTCCTTCAAGACCCGTCTCAAGACCCTCCTCTTCAACCGTGCCTTCGATCACCCTCCTTCCCCCCGCCCTCCACCCTCCCCAATCCCGACCCCCAGCTCGGGTCCAAAACACTGACTATCCAACGCCTTGGGACGTCCTCCTGATGTGAAAGGCACTATGCAAATGTAATGTTGTTGTTGTTGTGTGAGTCCTATAGCTCAGTGGTTAGAGCACTCGCCGAGCTACAATTCCCAGCAGGACGAAATGTTGGGCAAGTTTCCTTACTCCGCACGCCTCTGTTTATAGGTAGGAGAACGATTGTTAGTGAATTGGTGGATCGCTTTTCCGGGGGGTGGGGTAACAATCCCTCCAAAGAAAAAAAAATCAATAAATTTGTCATTTCAATCCACGACTGTTTGTGGGACGCGAATGTGGGCAATTGGCTGCCGCGCTTCTCCCAGAAATACACAGCCAATTGGCTTTAGGGCATATTCCGCGAAGCACTTGGCGACGTCCCGAAGGCGTGAGAAGGCGGTGTATCAAAATGCAAAGATTATTATTATTATTATTATCATCATCATCACCATCAGCATCATTGCTCTTTATAGATGTAACTGCTGCAGTTCATGTAAACCCCGGAGTCCAACAGCAGGTGGCGCCCAAGGTGCCTGACGTCACTTGCCCGAGCAGCCGGCCCTCGTCACGTGACGGTGGCGCCTCCGCCTCGGCGGCGTCAACGTCGCGCGTGCGGCGGCGACGATATATCCCATGGTCCTCTGCGCTCGTTCTCTTTTCCCTTGAACCAACATGTCGAAGAGAGGTGAGTGACCGGGGGGGGGGACGCGCAATCCGCTGCCATCGGAGGATTACGTGGCGAGGACCGACATTTTACCGACCCGATCATACGCTTAAACCCTCGGACTGTCGTCTGGCGCCCGTATTGGTAACGAAAACCAAAGCTGGAAGTGCTCGATGATGAGCTTCGGGAACTGTCCTCCCGCTCCCCCGCCCGGCGGCCATCTTGCGGCCTCTCCCTGGTCCACAGACCGTGTCGGCGCCCCGGGAGTTTCGGGCAGCTCTTCCCGCCACTGGCCTCCTGCAAGCCCGGCGGCGGCCTCCGCTCCCTTTGACTCCCTCTCTCTCTCTCGGGCAGAGCTTTGGCCGCGCGGCGCCGGGAGCCCCGGGGGCTGAGCGAGGAGCAGGCCTCAGGCTGCCACATAGGGGAGTGAGGGGGGGGGTCTCACACACACACACACACAGGCCGGAGGTGGGGAGAGACACACATGGGCTTGGGAGGGGGGGTGAAAGGGAGGGGGGGGGTGAGAGGGAGGGAGGGAGGGGCTCACACACAGTCTTGTGGGGGGAGAGAGACACAGTCTTGTGGGGGGAGAGACACACACACAGTCTTGTGGGGGGAGAGACACACACACAGTCTTGTGGGGAGAGAGACACACACACAGTCTTGTGGGGAGAGAGACACACACACAGTCTTGTGGGGGGAGAGAGACACAGTCTTGTGGGGGGAGAGACACACACACAGTCTTGTGGGGGGAGAGAGACACAGTCTTGTGGGGGGAGAGACACACACACAGTCTTGTGGGGGGAGAGAGACACACACAGTCTTGTGGGGGGAGAGACACACACACAGTCTTGTGGGGGGGGAGAGACACACACACAGTCTTGTGGGGGGGGAGAGACACACAGTCTTGTGGGGGGAGAGACACACACACAGTCTTGTGGGGGGGGAGAAACCAGTCTTCGGGAGACAGGAGGGGGTAAGAGGCAGACATGCAGTTGTTTTGGGGGGTGGGGAGGTCACACACACACACAGCAAAAAGTTTTAGAAATAGTTCTCAATTTTTCTGCAGAAAACAAGTGAATTGCGCAGTGGGGGTTTTATTTCCAATCGTTTGCTGATTTTATTTGGAATAAATTAAAAGTGGGCCCTGTCCCAATTTTGTGGAATTTCTCACAATAGAAAGTTGGGGCCAAAAAAGCTGCCTCGACAGTGGTTTCAGTCTATTTGTTGTTGTACTAAAAGTATTGCAGAGGAATTGGACAGGAATCTGAAGTGATCTGAACAATCACTTCAGATACAGGGAAGTTGGTACCTGAGTGTTGAGAGTTTATGTGCGGTTGGGGTTAGTATGATTATTGCGGTGTGTTGTTTAATGGTGTCCTCTCTCTCTCTCTCTCTTCATCGAGGACGTGGTGGTTCGTGTGGAGCGAAATTTCGCATCTCTCTCGGTCTCCCTGTGGGAGCCGTGATCAACTGTGCTGACAACACAGGTAGGGAGGCGTTAAGTACCAACCCATCCCTGAGTCCCCAAGCTTCGCCTCGCCAATCTGTGCCCAATACTCTGCGGGATTAGGTGGTCCTCACCTTCAAAGCCCTCCGCGGCCTTGCTCCTCCCTACCTTCGTGACCTGACCCCCTACCAACCTGTCCACTCAGTAGGCTCTGGCCTGCTTCATGTTGCCCGCCCCATCATGGGGTGTCCCTTCAGCCTCTCTGCCCCCACCCTCTGAAACTCCATCCCACAGTCCCTCTGCCTTACCTCCTCCCTTGCCTCATTCAAGATCTTCCTCTTCGAACGTGCCTTTGGTCACTCGCCTACCCCTACCATCCACCCCTCCTGATCCCAACCATCAGGTTTGCTGTGGATTCCTGACTGTTCCGCACCATGGGGCATCACCCTGATGTGAAAGGTGCTAATACACATGTAATTTGTTGTTCAGTCCCTCTAGGGAGAGTGCTCATTCCTTTCTGGGCATTGACATTTCCACACTAGCTGGCATACATTTGTGGAACTCTGTCTGGTTTGGAGACTGTGGGTGGTGGTGGGCTTGTACGTGTGTCGCACATCCGGCAGACCAGAAAAAATATGCCCTGCGCAGTGTCCCACAAACAGTGAATGGCTGGTTGTATTTGGGGGATTGTTGGCCAGGGCATTCCAATGTACTGAAGGCTTCCATATTGAATTGGCTGTTGGTTACTGTATCACTGGTGCAGCAAAAGACCACCCTCATTACAGAAATACCCTATTGTAGTTTTAACAGAAATGTTTCTCCTGTTTTCTCACTGTTTGCTTCAGGGGCCAAGAACCTCTACATCATCTCAGTCAAAGGGATTAAGGGGCGCTTGAACAGACTTCCAGCTGCCGGTGTTGGAGACATGGTTATGGCAACAGTAAAGAAAGGAAAGCCCGAACTGAGGAAAAAGGGTGAGTGTGGAAACATAAACCTGCTGAAAGTGGAAAGGCCAGGATCCCATGTGATATAAATCATCCAGGGGGTCTCTTTGTCAGAGAAGCGAGGTTAATGATCAGTGAAGGAATAGGAAAGTGGTTTGTTTCCTCTTGGGTCTGGTTAATGGTTGGGGTCTGTGGGACTGAAGCATTAGTTGAAGACCAGGGTAGTCGATCTATTTTATCCTAGATATGCTTTTTAATTTGTGTTCACTTTACATCTCGTACACTTCAATTTACAAGCCTTTCACACTGCGCTGGGAGAATTTGGGTAGCAGAACTGGTTTATTTGTTTGTTTGTTTGTATTTTGGGAATAGAGAGAATAGGAGACGTTGTGCTTGGAGAAAAGGTGGAAACTGTTCTGACTACACTCGAATCCTCACCGAGGCTGAGTTTGGATTTTTAGAAGGTTTGCAGACCAGACAAAATCATTCGCTGGGCCGGTTGTGGCCCGTGGGCCGCCTGTTGGGCCAGCCTGCTCTACATCAGAGGCACTATATAAATCCATGTTTTATTAAACTAGGACCAAATGCAAGCAAAGGATGTCCCAGCGAGGTGTTATATAATCAAATACAATTGTCCTGCTGTGGATGTGTGTTATACCTTTCCCTCTGACCTGAGAGATTATGGGGTTGGGGGTAAAATAAATTCTTATTAAAGCACAATTAGAACTACACAGGGCTATCACACGTTTTTAAAATGACACCCATGTGGTCGTGCAGGATATTTCTTGGTTCACCCTCCCAAACCCATTTGCTGAGTCTATTCTCGATGTTTCAGTGAATTTTTGAGAGGGGAGAATAATGCATTGCTTTTGGGTGAGATAGCAGCTGCTACATGCTGTTGAATCTCAATCCGCGGTGTGACAATTCAAATAGTAAACCTGATTCCTCTTTGTCAAGAGAATAGGCTGAATCTCGTGTGATACAATACAAATTTACTTTGTGTAGTCGGGAGGACGTCCCAAGGCGAAGGACAAAGAGTGATATTAAGCGACTGAAGTATCTCCCCACCCCCCGCCCAGTGTGGGAATATCGGGCCATTCATACTATACATTGAGTCAGTGGATCTCAGCCGAGTGTTACAGTGGGCCCTCGCTAGTGAGAAAACTGCTTCTGGTCTCTCTCTTACAGTTCCTCCTGCACAGTCATTGTGTGGTTGAGGACAACGTCAGTGTCTGTTAGGTTGAAGATGTTGTGGAGACTTATGAGGTGCCAGCGCCTATTAAATGTGCCCTAGTGCTGTTAGCACTTAAGTGCTTAGTGTGACTGTACCTGGTTTCCAATTCCATAAATCAGGATCTGGAAAAAAGATCTGGAGGGGACAACCCAAAAGGGCGTAGATGCAGTTCCAAATAGCGGAGGCAGAATGGATTAAAGCTCACCCATCAATGATGGGATGGATTGGGAGGGCAAGATGTTGCAGACCAGTGTTTACTGAGGGTAGGATAGTGCGGGGCGCCAGGGGAGTCTGTGACTAACACAAGGATTCTGCAGAGTTTTTGATGGGTCAAATAAGATTACATATTAGCATTTTGCTGAGGAATCTCATTTTGTAAGTTCTGATTGAGTAACTATTTCAGAGGAAGCTGAGTGTTGCTTTTGGTGCCTTGTGTTACAGTCCATCCGGCGGTAGTGATACGGCAGCGGAAGGCATACCGAAGAAAAGACGGCGTGTTCCTCTACTTTGAAGACAATGCGGGGGTAATAGTAAATAATAAAGGTGAAATGAAAGGTGAGGAGTTTCCCGTTTAATAGTGGGCAATGTACTTCACTCTTCCAGTATGTGCTTTACTCTACTGTTAATGACCACATTCATGGGATTATTTCTTTACCCACTTTTTTCCCTTTCTGGAGAAGCTGGATTGGCTGGGTATTGCTCCACAGGCCTCAACAGCCACCCAGTAATTCGAGACAGTATGAGATCAGTGATTTGTGGGAGGGGTAACTGGGTTCTCGCTCCTTAGCCCAAACACGACGAGACTAGATGTAATGCTCCAACTGAATTTAATCAATGTGAAATCCACCAGCCTGTGTAAAGTTTATCCACACTGATAAAGCAAGGCGATTTCCTAGCCCAGGCTGGACTGCAACTATGTCAGTAAGTGTTTTGGGGCGATGCCATGCCATTCTTTGTGGCCAGAGCAAAGGTGGTGAATTTGAACTTTTGAGAAATCACCTGTGTGGCTGCCATTTTGTTTTCTCTTTGATTGACGCACAATCTTTGAAGACATATGTAGATGTGTGTACTTTTTCTTTAGGCTCTGCAATTTCCCTCCTAAAAGCACTTACTTTGCCTGCTCTCAGTGGCTGGGTGAGTTGTCAAGGAAGGGTAAAGAAATACATTACCTTTGGGTGAGATGGGAGCTACACTGTGCTCCTGAATCTCAATCCGTGGTGTGACATTTTACAACCCATTAAATCCCCAAATGTGCTGATAATTGTCTTTTGTGAACATCATGAAGGTACCAATTATAAGCATTCAAATACAGCGGAATCAGCTTTTGACGGTTGCTGGTTAACCCTGGACATCGGGTAAATTGAACACAGCACCCAGCCCAGATTCATTTGTATTCTTACCTGTTTCAAAAGGCCGATTAATTCGAACCAAAGTCCAGGCAAAATGCTAAGCTGGTCACCGCTGAATTCACTCACTTGAGCCTTCTGTGTGTCGAGCTTTCGGCCATGAGGGACTCCGGGATGGGAGGAGTTAATTACGATTGACAGCTGGACTCCTGCCATTCACTAGCGGCTCAAGGCTGCCAAATCACCTCAACACCACCGCTAATTGGTCCCCTTCCCATCCAGTGGGAGGGAGGAAGTGCTGCCGCTCCTCTGCTGAGCGGGGAAGTGATCCGGCGATCGACTAATAACCGGGTTCCTACTTACTGCCAGGTTAACAGAGGCGTGTGGAGCAAGGGAACTTGCCTAAAGTTATCGAACCCGGGTCTTCTCGCTTGCGAGGCGAGAGCGCTAACCACTACGCTACAGGACTCCACATTATTGTAAGTTGTTGTATAAGTGAGCTTCCTGCTCCCCTTCACTCCTCTGATGGGCACTAACAAATACAGGTGTCCTTTTTACCCTGAACTGGCTCGCTCATGTTTGTGTTTCTTCTGCTTCCAGGTTCTGCAATCACAGGCCCCGTTGCCAAAGAATGCGCAGACCTGTGGCCCAGGATCGCCTCCAACGCAGGCAGCATTGCTTAAAGCACCTGTACAACTCAATAAATATGTTCCCCTCAACACTTGCTGTGCCCTTTGATTTATTTGGGTATCGATAAGCATATACCTCTCTGTAAAGCTGTTTTGTAGTTCTGCAAAGGATGTTTGTAATCAAAGGTATCACTGATCCTGTGTCTTTTGTAAATAATAATTAAACATTTAATAGATTTCTTTCTGTAGTCCTTGCATCTCAATATGTACATTTCAGTCCACTGCAACCTGCACGTTAGGTAAGTCTGTGCAGATTCATTGGCTTTTCCATACTCCCATCTGCTTTCTGGCAGAGAGCTGCTATAATGTTTATATAATATATATATTCTAGCGGCACATCCCAGGGTAAGATCTCTATGGTAGTTCACGTGTGGGGCGGTACCGTGCCATTCTTTGTGGCTAGAACAAAGCTGGTGAATTTAACTTTTGAGAAATTACCTGTTTGGCTGCAATCTTTGAAGACATCTATAGCTGTGGTTAGTTCTTTAGGCTCTGCAATAATATAAATCCCTGGATTTGCTGGTAATTGTTTTTTTTGAACATTATGAAGGCACCTGTTATAAACATTGAAACACAGCGGAATCAGCTTTTGCCAGACCCCAATTAAGCCCGGACACCTGGTAAATCGAATAAAACACCCGGGCCCGATCCATTTGTATTCTTACCTGTTTAAAATATGCCAGTTAATTCGGATGAAAATCTGGGTAAAATGCACCGTGAGTTGCTCACTTCTGTGTGTCGAGCCTTCAACCATGAGGGACTCCACACTATGGTAAGTTGTTGTATAATTGAGCTTCCTGCTCCCCTTCTCGGTGGTACCACTTCACTCCCTGATAAGCATCTGTACAACTCAATAAATATGGTCCCCTCAACACTTGCTGTGCCCTTTGATTTATTTGGGAAAGTTGAGCAAAATCTAGTTCGGTTTTGTATTTCTGCAAAGGATGTTAGAAATTAAAGGTACCAGTGGTCCTGTGTCTGTGATTAATAATTAAAGCAGAAATGGGAGTAGGCTATTCGATAAGATCATGGCTCATCTGTACCTCAACTCCCAATTACTCGACCTTGCCCCATATCCCTTAATACCATATCTATCCATCTCAAAACTGTAAATGGATCTAGCATCCACAGACTTTTGGGGGGTAGAGTTCCAGATTTCCGCTGCCATCCAGGTGAAAAACTGCCTCCTGATTTCCACCCCTAAAAGCCCGAGCTTTAATCTTAAGATTATGCCCCCTTCTTATGCATTCCCCACCAGAGGAAATAGTTTCTCTGTATTTACCCTATCAAATCCCTTTCTTATTCTAAAAACCTCAATCAGGTCACCTCTCAGCCTTCCAAATTCAAGGGAATAGTCCAACTTTATGCATCCTATCATAATTTAACCCTTTAAGCCCTGGTATTCTAGTGGATCTGCACTACACACACTCACAGAGCCAATATATACTTCCTGAGGTGCGGTGTCCAAAGCTGAATGCAGAATTCCAGATGAGGTCCAACCCAAACCTCTATATAGTTGAAGCATCAGTTCCTTTTATATTCCAGCACCTTAAAGTAAAGGTAGACATCCCATTAGCCTTTTTGATACTTTTTTTTTGCACATGTGAGCTCGTTTTTAGTGATTTGTGTATCTGGACACCCAAATCCATTTGCTTCACAGTTTTCTTCGTTCCTCACAGTTTAGCAAATATTCTGTTTTGCTATTTTTGGATCCATAGTGAATGACCTCACACTTCCCCACATTGAATTCCACCTGCCACAGTTTTGCCCACTCACTTAATCTATCTTAAGTCCCTTTGTATCTTCCTGCTCCCATCTACACAATTTACTGTGTAGTTTCCTAACTTTGTATCATCTGCAAATCTGGATAGAAAACTATTCCTTCATCCAAGCCATTTATATATATATAAGAGTGAAAAACTGAGGACCCAGTACATACCGCTGGGGAACACCACTTGTCACGTCCCGCCATTCAGGGAATATTCCATTTACCTCTAATCGGTTTCCTGCCTCCCAACCAATTACCAAGCCACGTTACCTCCGATTCCATGTGCTTTTATTTTTACTAATAACCTGTTGTGTGGAACCTTACCAAATGCCTTCTGGAAGTCCATGTAGATGGCATTTAATATTTAACATTAAACATTGAATAGATTTTTTTTGTTCTGTAGTCCTCGCATTTCAATATGTACATTTCAGACCACTGGAACCTCTGCACATCAGGTGAATCCGTGCAGATTCATTGGCTTTTCCGTACTTCATCTGCTTTCTGGTAAAGACCTACTGTAATCAAGAATCTGGCCGCACATCTATGCAAGTAAGATCTCTGTCATTTCCCGCTGATAGAAGAACAAGCTGTAGTGTGAATGTAGTAGTTGAATTGTGGGCAGATTTTCAAAAAATGCTCACAAAAGATGTTCAGCTTGAACCTTTTTACTGAGAATGTCAAGTGTGCTGTGTTTTGCATAAATATTCACAATGGGCTTCAACAAAAAGCATCTTTGTCCCCTTCTCAAAAAAAAACATGTGGCAATTTGGCAGCAGCTGTTTCTTGCATTCCTCAGACATGTCTTGAGTGCCCTCAGCCGTCCATGGCTTTTCCGCATGGTTGTTCTAAAACAATTTAACATCAACGTAAAGACCACATTGTTGGGAAGAATGAGGAATGAAATCACTGAACGTTTCCAAACATTCTGCTGGATGTCTGACACGTGGAAACCCATCACTGTTGCTTGACAGTATCCAAACCAAACTGAGAATTCCACGCATCCCACCTACACGTGGACATTCCAGAGAATGTTGGACTGGAATGTGCACTCTCGCTGGAGAGATGCATCCTGCTTACCTAATTCTGCAAAGTATTAGGCACAGATTGGCAAGAGCCAAGGCTTGGGGATCCCAGAGTGTGTGTTCGGGTACTGCTGGAATCTTAACCAACTAAAACAGCACAGCTGCCATTGATATCACTACCCTCTCAAGCTTTCCTGCTGCTTGTCCAGCTAGGACCATCCTACCCGTTAGGGCTTTGGCTTGTCCTGATAAAACTGCACGTCTCACCTGAACGAATCCTTGCTCCCAGTGACTGGTCCTTCCCTCTCAAGTCCTTTTGATAAACCGGACTGGCTGGGCTTAAATCAGCAGTTCTCTGGAGTACTGTGTACCCACCTGGCTCAGAAATCGGTCTTCAAACATAGCCGTGGAGGGTTGACTTGATTCTGATATTCCATTACCAGCCAGCTCAGCTGCAAGAGGGTACGGCCTTATCTCCCCCCAGTGGGTAGAAGTGGTTTCTAAAAATCAGTGTGGTGAGAACCAGTTTGCATGTGAGCACAGTCTAGACATAATCGTCTCTTTATTTGCAACTTTAGTTCCTGATCCAATCAATGTACTTGGATATAATAATCCATACATTTGGTACAGCGCCTTATCACATCATTGAGACAACTGAAAGCGCTTCACAGAGTATATATAGATAAACCAGTTGTGTAGTCTGGTAGCTCAGTGGTTAGAGCACTCGCCTCACAAGTGAGAAGACCTGGGTTTGATTCCCGGACAGGGCGAAATATTGCGGAAGGTTCCTTACTCCACACGCCTCTGTTTATCTAGCAGTAAGTAGGAACCTGGTTGTTAGTCGATTGGCAGATTGCTTTTCCGGGATAAGAATCCCTCAAAAAAACGTGGTCACTCAATGTATCACTGCTGTGCGCAATCCCTGCCGCGTTTCACCAACAAATATACAGTCAATTCGCTTTACGGTATATTCTGTTAAGCGCTTTGATACGACTAGAAGATGTGATAAGGTGTTATACCAAATGCAAGGATTATTATTATTATTATATGGAGAGAGATCCTCTCCAATTGAACATTGCAAAGCGAACTTTAAATAGTTCATGTAAGTCCAAAGGAGAAAGATGAGCAAACATCAGTGAATCTCCTTTTTTTTAAAAAAAAATAACATTTGGTTTGGAAGGAAAACAGCTTTGTTTTAAATAAAAAGGTAACTGCTGTACACTGTGGTAGGAAGTGATATTTTTGTGGACACAGGGGGTTGAAAAAAAAATGCTGTCTGATTTATAACCAGATTTAAGCTTAAATACAAACGTAATAATGATTTGCTGTCTGCTACTGTGACATTTTTTTACACAACTGAGTGAAGTCAGTGCAGCTCATGGTTTGGGGTTTGGGTCTCACAGACTTGCCCACCTCTTTGCAAGGATGAGTGGGTGCCATGAGCTTGAGCTCCTAAAAAGGGAAAAGGGGTTCGTTCTGGATGGCATTGCCACCAGTTTCCTGGCACAGGGCTACAACAAGGTCAACCCCAAACTCAGCGACGTGATTCCCCCTTACAACCCTCAGAAGGATCCCTACGCCAAGAACAGATTTGAAAGCAAAGAAATGAGGGAGTTCCTCAAGAAAACGAACCAGGTAAACGAGTCGAGTTGCAACCTCTGGGCTTGGGCAGGTTTTGCAAAACGTGTGCATCTGTTGTTTCCTCGATCCGTTCGGGAGGATGAAGTGTGTAAGTGAGCAAAACGAAGTGTGTAAGTGAGCAAAACGAGGTGTGATTGCACTTGTGAAGTCCACACTACAATTAATTGCACAACACTGGCAAATGGCACCACATCTCTCCCAGTGAGTACAAGCTTTGATGGTATCGTTGGATGAATCGCACTACCACTACTGACAATTTTTTATATATATATATATATAGAGAGAGAGAGAGAGAGAGAGCTTTGGTGCTTTATTAGTGGATGTGGAGAAAAAGAAAACACATTTCGTTATGTGACAATAACAGCCAAGAAATGAGAAATAAGTGGTCCAAGACTGGAGCCCCTGTGGTGTATGTATATCAACTAGTGATTATGCTGAGACAGATTGAGAAGCTATTGAAGGAAATAGAGTTCCAATGCTGGAATAGACAGGAATAGAACCAAAAAACAGCAGACTTACTGAAGGGCATCAAAGAGGAGAGCCGACGAAGGAAATTGGAATGGACAAAGGCAGGAGAGAGCGCGAGGAAGATGGGAAGGGATAGGGAATCTTGGTCACAGAGAGAAGGTTGTGATTGTAACAGACCAGCGGCACACTGCTGGAAGGCAGACAAGAGAGTCTCGAATAGAGAACGCCAAGAGGAATGGAAGAGGAGTTGGGAAGTGACAATACATTCTCAATACTTTAGAGATATGATGGGCAGAGTGCAAATAATAATAATATTCCTCACGTTTGATATCGCGCCTTGTCACGTTATTGCCATCTCAAAGGGCTTTTCAGGATATAATAATAATAATCCTTGCATTTGATATAGCGCTTTTCACGTCGGGAGGACGTCCCAAAGCGCTTCACAGAACACACTGTAAAGTGAATTGACTGTATATTTGTGGGCGAACGCGGCAGCCAATTGCGCACAGCAATGTCCCACAAACAGTCGTAGATTGAAAATGACCAATTTATTATTGTTTTTAGTTTTGGAGGGATTATTATATGTTGTAAAATGGATTGTCTGTGTATTTTTACAGCCGCTGGTTGTGCACAGCAATGTCCCACAAACAGCCACGGAGTGAGGGACCAATTTTATTTGGGGGGTGGTTGGCCAGGACACCAGGAGAGAGACACTCCCTTTTCTTTTTGAATATTGCCAATGGGATCTTTAACATCCACCTCAACAGGTAGATGGGACCTCAGTTTAACGTCTCATCCGAAGAATGGCACCACTGACAATGCACAGTCGAAGCTGATACTCCAATGCACCAGCACTGCATTGGAGCGATCCTCTTAAACTGTATGATTCATACAGCATAAGCTGAACCCACAATCTTCTGACTCGGAGCGGAGAGTGCTAGCACTGCGCCAGGCTGCCACACGTTAACATAGACTACGAGAGTTAAAAGCCTCAAAGTGAACCTACTGACTCAGAGAGTGCCACTGACTGACCAGACTGATAATATTAATATTCCTTGTATTTAATATAATGCCGCATCATGTCTTTGAGACATCTCAAAACGCTTCACAGAATATACGACAAAGTGAATTGACTGTATATTTTGTGGGCGAAATGCCAATTGCGCACAGCGGTGTCCCACAAACAGTCGTGGATTGAGTGACCAATTTGATACCCTTTAATGATCTTTCTTTAGATGGATGGCGGTTCTTCAAGCGGTGGTTGGGTGGTGGATTATTTTTATAAGTATGGGCCGGTTCAGTTCTATTTGGCCAAGAGAAACGCGGCTGGAGCAGGTATGTGTTTTAAATCATTTATATTTCCCCATCTCACTCGCTGTGTTTTTAATATCAGTTCAGGTCTTTCAGAATGTGTGTCGGACCCCTTGGAGGAATGACATTAAATCGTGGTTTATTGTGATAAAGGATCACCTCATACCCACTTATCACCAGGCAGGATTTCAGCTGTTCTGCTCCCCCCTTTGGGATTTAATCTTCCTTCCTCCACACACCAATCCCCCCGCCCCACCACCACCAACCCCCACTTGACCTGTGGTTACAGGTATCAGAAGTAGGACATTACCTGGAAAGGATCCTTTCCTCAAGACAGATTTTAAGTGTTATTGCTGCGAGCAGTTGAATAGCAACCACTGAATAAAATGACACAGTGGTGGGGGGGGTCTTTGGTGCCTGGCAACGTGCCATAGCAATGGCATACATCTGATCTCATTACCTGTCTCTTGTTAGGTATCGCTATACCTCTGCAACGAAGCAGATATTCTGAAACGTTCTTAAAGGTTATTGTTTGTGCATTCAGTGGCTTGACAATGTGTTGCCACTGGAGATAACAGGGATATGTGTCTCATGTAGGGAGACGGTCGAAGGAGGAAGTGTTGATTCTTTCAAACACAGATTTAGATAGTTTGCTTTTAGATAGTAACATTATGGGATACAGTGCATAGATAGTTTGGGACGTGTTCCATGCGACTGCCAGGAAGGTGGAAGGCGAACTAGATGGACTTTGGTCTTTTTTTGGTCGAGCATTTCTTATGTTCTCATGCATTTCACTCTGGAAAAGCAGTATTTGGAAAGGTATTGCGCTGGGTTACTAATGGGAATCCGGTAGGCTGCTGTGCGTGTGAATGCTGGAGCGTATTGATCACTTTCGACCTTGTCAGACACCCTGGGCTTTGCCAGTTTTTTGTGTGCATTAACAGAAGCCGCCACAAACGTTTTCTAATTTGATCTAGCAAATTGCAAAGAGGAGCCAGCAAAGGTGGTTTCACAGAGCATTTCACAGTGACAGGTTCAAACTCTGAGCATATGGGTGGGGGAAGGTGAAGTGACCATAGGTGTGGTCAAAGAGATAAGTTTTAAAGTGAGATTTAAAGACAGATGTAGAGGGGGTGAGGAGGAGCAGTAGAAGCAGGGAGTTCCAGGCGTTTGGGGCGTCGAAAACCAATGGAGATGCAGAGGGTAAGAAGCAGGACCGAGAAAGCAGAGAAGTGGGGTTTAAGAAGATCAGAGAGATAAGGAGATGCTACAGTGTGAAGGGGCTTATAGTTGAAAAGGTTTGAGATGAGACCCACATCGCTATGATTTGGAAAAAAAAATTGCTGTAAAATATCTCTTGACAACATTACAATGATAATAATAATCCTTGCATTTAATATAGCGCCTTATCACGTCGTCAAGACATCTCAAAGCACTTCACAACATTTACTGTAAAGTGCAGTGCCTGTATATTTTGTAAGCGAAACACAGCAGACAATTGCGCGCAGCAGTGTCCCACAAACAGTCGTGGATTGAGTGACCAAATTATTATTATTTAATTTATTTTTTTTAGGGATTATTACCCTCAGAAAGTGATCCGTCAATCGATTAACAAGCGAGTTCCTACTTACTCCTGGGTAGACAGAGGCGTGTGGAGTAAGGAAACTTCCCTAAGATTTCACCCTGCTCAGGAATCAAACCCGGTTCCTCTATCTTGCGAGGCGAGTGCACAAACCACTACGCTGCAGGACTCCGACTTGACAATGGACAAGCTGACACGCTGATATCTTTTTTTCCCAGGTCACTCCTTTGAAGCGATAGGTGCCCACCGTCAATATCTGTCAGATGTTAAACCTATGGTTGGATACAGTGGAAGATTTGGATATAGAAGAACAACACCTTGGCTGAGGGAAAAGTCATCTTCATTTGGAGAGGTCACCAACCTTTCACTGTACTAACACCCCTGCAAATAGTGAAGACGTTTTGGACTCGGGTATTTTCAAAGCAGGCAGGGACTTTATTGTGGTGCGTTACTTGGAGACGAACGGATCATGAATCTTTCACCATGACTCGAAATCAGGACAACGGCAATCTGATCTGTATGACAACAACAACTTGCATTTATGCAGCACACAGCCAATCTGCTTTTTCGTCCAGTAAAACCTGATGACAATCACAAAATGTTTTTCCAGTTCCCTTGTCCGTAAAGTTATATTTTGCACATCAACCGCTTGAACTGTTTCTCTGTAGGAACCAGAAAAATATGCCTGTTGCGTGATAATTTTCCGACTGCACACTTTCCTTCTGGTATCGACTTCACATGTATTCTGTTTAATTGTGTACATTTGGAATGATGGTCCATTGATTTGTTCAGCTCTCCCGTCCATGGTGTTGGGGTGGAAGAAGGGGGAGGATGACAAGGCGGCTTTTCCGACTTTATTTTTAAAATAATATTCTACTATGCAGTGTAACGATTTTGTATTATATCAGTGCTGACACAGGAGTAAGAAGAGCTTTTAGCAAAAGCGCAGGCGTTTGACAAAACATGACTGCAATATTGCCCTGTTTGCTCTGCACCAGAAGGAAAGTAAAACAGGTCGGTTTAACTGCTCAAAAATAAACTTCACGGCACTTTATCTTTTTAACTTATTCTCCTTCCTAATTCTTTAACTCCCATCCAAGCCTTCAGCTCAGAGGAAGCTGGGGAAGCACTGCACTCAGGTGCCCTCCTTCGGGTGAGGCATTAATCCGATCTCCTGTTCAGGTGACGTTAAAGATCTCCCAAGTCACTGTTCGAAAAGAGAAGGGAGTCTCTCTCTCCTGGTGTCCTGTCCGCCAACTCTCCATTTAAAATTGGCCACTTGCTTCACGACTGTTGGCGAGACATTGCTGCGTGGAGTCCTGTAGCTCAGTGGTTAGAGCACTCGCTTTGCAAGTGAGAGACCTGAGTTCAATTCCAGGCAGAGGGCGAAACCTTGGGCAAGTTTCCTTACTCCACACAGAGCCTAATAATAATCCCTCCAAAACCAAAAACAATAATAAATTGGTCATTTTCAATCCACGACTGTTTGTGGGACATTGCTGTGCGCCATCGGCCGCCGCGTTCGCCCACAAATATACAGTCAATTCGCTTTACAGTGTGTTCCGTGAAGCGCTTTGGGACGTCCTCCCGACGTGAAAAGCGCTATATCAAATGCAAGGATTATTATTATTATTATTAAATAATAGATTATTGACAATGTATTAATTATAACAATCAATTGATCATTGATAATAACAATGCATTATAATATTTTTTTTTACATTATTATTAATAATAGATTACGATTATTATTATTGATAGTAACCAGAAAAATAGACCCCATACCCACATTCACCCCCAACGCCCCCACACCCCCCCCCCCCCCCGCACACAGCCCATCCCACTCCCACTCCCCGGGTGCAGTACCGCTCCGGACCTCTCCTCCAGGCCAGGGGGCAGCACGGGGGGGAGACGGCAGTGGGAGCCGAGCGGGAGAGGAGGAAACAGCAGCAGCGATGGGTGGAGGAGACCTGGTGAGAGATTGTAATGGTTTAGGGGCGACGGGAAGAAGAGAGGGAGAGAGAGAAGGGGAGAGAGGGGGGGAGGGGGGGAGGATAACGAGGCGGTTTTTTCCGACCCCCCCCCCCCCCGAGGCCCAACTACACATTTTACAAACAAACAATAACAACCCCCTCCTCCCCCCCCTGTCTCTCCCCCTCTCTCCCCTCTCTCCCCCCCTCATCCTCTATCCCCTCTCTCTCCTCCCCCCTCACTCCCCCTCTCTCCCCTACTCCCCCTCTCTCCCCCTCTCTCTCCCCCCCTCCTCCCCCCCCCACTTCCCCTCTCTCCCCCCCTCCCCCTTGTCTCTCCCCCTCTCTCCCCTACTCCCCCTCTCTCCCCCTCCTCCCACCACTCCCACTCCCTCTCTCCCTACTCCCCCCTCTCTCCCCCCTCCCCCCCCCCCACTCCCCTCTCCCCCCTCACCCCCCAAAAAAGGCTACCCCCCAGCGGTTCCCCTGGGGCGGGTGTCACTCTCTGTGGGTTGAAATACGTGGTTCAAACTTCCGGGTTTATTTGATCAGATGATGAATCTGATTTCATTATCAACAGCTCAGTGTCTCCCCCTCCACCACCCTCCCCCCCCCCACCCCGCCATTAGCCCTTCTAACTAATAATAATCCTTGCATTGATACAGCGCCCGATCACGTCTTCGAGGGGTCTCGAAGCGCTTCGCGGGATAGACTGTCAAGTGAATTGACCGTATGTTTTGTGGGCGAAACGGGGCAGCCACTTGCGCACGGTGGCTGCCCCTCAATTATTTTCCTTGAGGGATTATTGGAGTAAGGAAACTTGCCCAGACTTTCGCCCTGCCGGGAATCATGCCCAGATCTCGCTCGCGAGGCAAGTGCTCTAACCACTGAGCTACAGGACTCCTAACTAGAGTCTGGTCGCGGCACTTTCCCCACCACCAACCCCCCCCCCCCCCCGACCCCAGATGAGATCAGGTAACTTGCCACAGACCGGGACTGAACCCTGGGACTGACTGATTCTTGAGTGTGTAAGGCACAACAACAAATCCAGTCAGCACACAGAGAGGTTCCTGGCACCTACATCCACTTAGTGAGAGCTCAAACCCACGCTTGTCAGATGTCGATCGACCAACTCATCACTGTCCTCCTTATGTGCGTGTGGGTGGGGAGGTAGGCGGGGGTTTCCTTGGAGCTGAACTGGCAAGGTGACATGCTTGGTGTCGGGAATGATGTCTGTTGCTGTCTCAGTAGTCCGGTTCCTGAGCCAGGTGGGTCCACAGTACTCCAGGGCACTGCTGATGACTTTAGGTAAAGGTGTCTCTTCCCACCCCGCAATAATTAAATGAGCTCAGAATCATATGACCAGTCAGCTTTGCCGAGTGCTTCAAGACGTCCTCTGCCGTGAAAGGCGCTATTGAAATGTCAACTGTATTGTAGGTGCAAGCCTTTTACATTCAAGTAGTTTTTTGGGGGGGTTATTAAAAACTAAATGATTGTGGGGCATTTTTCAAGTGTGTCGTTTTGCTCCTGAACAGAATCTGAAGAAAAGCTGGCACCCTCAGACTCTGAAAAACGTTGAGCGGGTGTGGAAAGCAGAACAGAAACATGAAGCGGAGAAGAAGAAGATTGAGGAGCTCCAGCGCGAGCTTCGAGAGGAGCGAGCGCGTGAGGAGATGCAGCGGTTCGCAGAAGACGCGGGCGTTGTGAAGTGAGTACCATACTGGTCACTGAAGCATGGGCTATCTCTACCAACTCTACCTTGTGTGTCCTCCTATCCCCTGTCTCTTCAAGTCTGTTTGGCTGGAATTATGTTACTGTGGTTAAAATGATCGATCCTCTGTTTTTATAAGCAATGTGAATTTTACCCACTTATCTGCTTGTAAATTGCAATTGGCCCAGCGCCTTGGGACATCCTCACGACGTGAAAGGCACTATACAAATGTAATTTTGTTATTGTTGTTGTAATGGGAAGACTATTGTGAGTGGTCATTCTATACAGATCAGATCTAACGAGCATAGATCTGATTTGTATAGAATCACCACTTCTTCCCCTCAGTCTCTCTTGCGGGTATGTTTTCTGATGCACTTTCTGAATTGAGAAAGTATAGTCATTCAAGTCCTGTAGCTCAGTGGTTAGAGCACTCACAAGCAAGAGACCTGGGTTCGATTCCCTGCAGGGTGAAACCTTGGACAAGTTTCCTTACTCCACATACCTCTGTCTATCTAGCCGTAAGTAGAAACTCGATCGTTAGTCGATTGGCAGATCTCTTTTCCGTAGGTAATAATTCTTCAAGTTTTTTAAAAAAAATTAATAGCTCAATCCATGACTGTTTGTGTGACACTGCTGTGCGCAATTGGCTGCCGTGTTTCGGCCCCAAACTATAGTCAATTCACTTTACAGTATATTCTGTGAAGCACTTTAAAAAGTCCTGAAAAAGTGATAAGGCGCTGTAAGGATTATTATTATTATCCTCAAATGTAAGGATTATTATTATAAGTCCCTGTCACTGCTGAAAGATGTATTTATACTTTCTTACTATCGAGGACTCATTCTCCATCGTAAACATAACCTATGATCTACTTACCTACAGAAAGAAATCTGATCGGCTTGACTGGATGTACCAAGGCCTTGGCAGTATGGTCAACAAGGAGGAATACCTGCTGGGCAGACCTATTGATAAGTACGCCACCGATAAGATGGTGGACGAGGAGTCTGGTCCTTCCTCTGATACTGGCCTGCTGCCTGGCTCCATCTTTTCAAGCACGGGAGCCAACTCTGCCCTGGACATGGCTTCCAAAATACGAGAAGATCCTCTGTTCGTGATCAGGTGAGAAGTCATCGATATACCTTGAGCAGAAGGTTTGCACTGGATAACTAGGCTCCATCGGTCACACACTTGCCTCTGAGTCAGAAGACTGTTGGTTCAAGCACCGCATTGGGATGTTAACAATCTTGGCTGACACTTCACTAGTATTGAGGGGGGGAGTTTGGGGGAACTATTGCATTGTCAGAGTTGCCATCCTTCGGCTGAGACGTTAACCTGAGGTCTTATCTGCCTGTTAGGAAAAGAGAAGGGAGTTTTTCTCTGGAGTTCTGTCCAGAAGTCGGTAACTTCATCAGTGTTGTGGGATATCGCACAGGGAGGGAGAATATGAGAGCTAATCTCCCTGTCCCACACATCTTCTCGTCCAGTCCTGTCACTATCACTGTTCAGAGTTCCAAGACGCTATCCTACGTGAAGTGGCTGTATAAATGAAAGTTGTTGTTGTTGTGACTTTGTAGTGAGATCATTGCGGTGTCCGATTCTCTCAATGTTTAACCCTTGGAAGAGAAGATGTTAGTTAATTTCTCTCGACTTGATCCTTCAGGAAGCGAGAGGAAGAGAAAAAGAGAGAGGTTTTGACGAATCCCATGAAAATGAAGAAAATCCGAGAAATAGTAAGTAGGTTCTATTGCTTTCTGAGTATACAATGCAAATTACATTTGTGTAGTGCCTTTCACGTCGGGAGGACGTCCCAAGACACTGATAGGGTTGCGGGCGGGTGGGGGTTGGGGGGAAGACATGGATGGGCGGGAAGAGATAGGTGGGGACAAAGGGCAGAGGTGGATGAGGGCGAGGGGGGGGAAATGCATAAGGGAAAGCTGACTACCTATTGAGCTGTTGCTCATGAAATAGATTCATCGTCTGATCAAATAATCTGATTAAATCTGTTCTAGCCAACAATCCCCCAAATAAGACTGGTCACTCACTCTGGCTGTTTGTGGGACACTGCTGTGCGTAATTGGCTGCCATGTTTCGCCCACAAAATACAGAATCAATCCATTTTACAGTATATCCTGTGAAGTGCTTTGAGATGTCTTGACGATGTAATAAGGCGCTATATCAAACGCACAGATTATTTTATAAAGATGAGAAAGGTTCCATTAACAGCACAGTCAAAGAGATGGGTATTAAGACGGAGAAGTAGGTGGTGAGCCAGAAAGATTCTGGATGGGATTTCTAAGCCCTTGTTAGTTTTTTTTAACACTCATTGTCAAAGAAGCTACTGCTTGTAGTTACAATTCTAGAATAAATACTGAACGCTTTCCTTTTTTACATTTTTTTTATAAAAAGCTGCAAATGAACCTGGTTAAAAATGAGAGAAAGAAACATAAAGATAAGAAGAAAAAGAAAAAACACAAGAAAAACCGACACTCCAGTGAGAGTCCCTCTAGCGATTCTCAGCAGCGGAAACCAAGGTAACAGTCTTTCAGGGTGTGGCGGAGTCAAAGGTGGGTTTTTCACTACTTGGATGATAATAATCCTTACTTTTGATTGTAACCCACCCATCAGGAATTTCGATGTGTAGATGGGATCATGGAAGTCTTATTTGATTTGGATATTCTTAAGCAATGTGATCGGTTTCCATATGTCAGACTGTCCAGAAAAATATAGCATCCACATAATATAAAAATTTCTTCACCCACAGAATATCATAGTCACTATATCTTATAGTAAATGTGTGAAGTACTTTGAGGCAGGTGAAAGGTGTCAAATTGGAAAGGCTTATTTAGAGCACTTTAGAGTAATTATTGTAAAGTAGCCTGGAAGTGAATGCCCAGTTTACGTGCGGACTCCTGACAGTAACTGACCCACAGAATCTCTGCTCAACTGCCCAGAAGTGGATGACGGTTTCCTATCAGCCAAAATTCAGTACTTCCAGCTATCTTTGTGAATCCAGGTTATGAACCCTGTACCTTCAGCCATGACATGTCCATCATCATCCCAGTGACTGCTGGACCCCACCCACCTCACCACCACCACACAGTGCTTGCTATCGAGCAAGGCTGCTTGGTGTGCGAAGAGAGAAAAAGGTGAAAGAGGAAACAGAAAAGGTCTTTTTCTTCACCTTTTCTAAATTTCTATCTTGACCAGATATAAACTTTTAACTTTTAAACTACTACTACTGCTACAACACCAACTTGCATTTACACAGGGCCCTTCACACAGGGTAGTGTCTCGGAGCGCTTAGAAGTAGTTTGAGCCTGAGCGGGGGAGAGAGAGGAGGTGTCGCTAGGCACGGTTGAAGAGGAAAGTCTTCAGGTGCGATGTTAGAGCATGATGATTTGGGGGAAACTTTGATCGAAGAGAATTGAGGTCTCGAGGTACATACTTATATTTAATTTCTATCTTGCAGAAAGCATGAAAGACCTGCAAGTCCCTCGCCCATCTCCGTTCGACAGAAAGTACCTGGATATGGCTTAAAGGTTTGTATGTCGCACCCTCTCTGTAAAGTTTCTTTTTCTAACCTCCCCTTTAATTCCTTTTGTGATTATCTTAAAATTTCTGCCCTCTCGTAAACTTGTCATAAAGCTTCATAATCTTTAAGATCTCTATCAGGTCACCACTTATGTCAGCTGGAGTGGAAAAAGACCCAATTTCTCAACTGTCTCATCATAACTGAAACTCCTTGTGTCTGCCACATCCCGATGTTGACATCCCTCAGCAATTACGGAGGACAATAATAATAATAATATTCCTTGCATTTGATATAGCGCTTTTCACGTCGGGAGGACGTCCCAAAGCGTTTCACAGAACACACTGTAAAGTGAATCGACTGTATATTTGTGGGCGAACGCGGCAGCCAATTGTGCACAGCAATGTCCCACAAGCAGTCGTAGACTGAAAATGATCAATACATGCCCCCTCCTCTATTTGGAGCCCCAAGAATAGTGATGCTTGGTATAGTCGTATGGAGTCCTGCAGCGTAGTGGTTAGACCACTCACCTTGCAAGCGAGAGGACCCAGGTTTGACTCCCATGCAGAGCGAAACCTTAGCTAAATTTCCTTATTCCACACGCCTCTGTTTAGTCGATTGGTGGATTGCTTTCCAGGGGCCAATAATCCTTCCAAATTGTCTGCCACGTTTCATCCACAAAATACACAGTTAATTCACTTTACAATATATTCTGTGAAGCGCTTTGAGACGTGTCATTGCTGTGATAAAGTGCTATATCAAATTATTGCGTGTGGTTGAATGCTGTGGTATTCTGCGCTTGGCCCTGAACGTATCTCATTCACACACAGTTGTGAGCTTCACCAGCCTACTCGACTGCAGGGGTGGTGGGGGGGGGCATCACAACCAAATCTGATCTCCTGCTCAACCCACAGCCCTCCACAAGCCTTCCAGCAGGAGATCTCTGGATATCTAATGGGAGCAGCATCCCTGATTGATTTTCATTCGCTAACCTGATGTCTTAATTGCCCCAGCTGAGATTGCTGAACTCTTAAGATTGAATTGTGGCTCGTCCAATCTATATGATATTAATAATCCTTGATTTGATTCAGAGTCTTTCATGTCAGGGGGACATCCCAAAGCACTTCACACCACATATTGTAAAGTACAGTGATTGTGTGTTTGTGGGTGAACACGGCAGCCAATTTACATATAGCAATTTCCTACAAACAGCCATGAAGTCGATGACCCAAGTTTGTTTCGGGTATTGTTGGCCAAGACACTGGGAGACACTTTTCGAAGAGTACCATGGGATCTTTAACATCCACCTGAGCAGGCACAGACAGTACCTCAATATAACGTCCCGTTCAAAGGACGGCACCTCTGACAATGCAGCAACTCCCCAGTACTGGAGTGGAGTGGCAGTTTACACTATAGGAGTTCCAACTTTCTGACTATCAACTGACACGCAAGCGGTTGTTACATGACTCGGATCCACAGCATTATAGGAGTAGGAGCAGACTTGCTGTCCTGTTGAGCCACAGAGTGCCACACACTTACCCAAAGATCCCATCGGAGATTTTAAAAATACTATGAATTGATTTTGATCAATGGCATGCTTACAAAGTTAGTCATTTTGATGAATTTATCTGCTCAGAATGTTGGAATCATTATCTTAGACATCAGATAGTTTTCTTATCCGATGTCGGTGATCGATTGTTTCAATAATCCTAGCCCTATTTGCCCAGCAGATCAGAGATTCACACAGTGATAAACAAAGACCTATCTCCCCACCACCCGACCAACCAAAAGCATCTCATAGTAAGCGAGGCAGGTCACGTTCCCGATCTCCACCACCACAGCATCACAGGGATTTGCGCCGTGAAAACCCACATCAAAGAACGTCAGCATCAACCTCTCCGTCACCTCCGAGACGCTCAAAAGTGCATTCACAGTGAGTACCTTTTATATCTCAAAACAGGAAGCTTCTCTCTCGCTCAGTCCTAACGCCATGTGAACTTGCTGCCATTTGTGATGAGTATCTCTTTGGGGCTCGGAGGCGATTGTGTTCCAGTGTTAGAATCAGTACGCTCATCAATAGACCAAGGAGACACCGATGGGCCAGTCAGTCCATCTCAGCTCCAGTGTGTGCTCACTCCATTGCTTCTTGAGGGCTGCTTGTCCCGAAAACATGACTAAAATCAGATGAAAGAATGTCCCACAAACAGCCGGGGATTGAATCACCAACTTTCTCTGGGGGAGTGTTGGCCAGGACACTGGTCAAAATATCACATAAAAAANTGAAGGTACCAGAGGGTGTCTGGACCTGCACTGGGGCATATTAGGAGCACCTGATGTCAGGAGGAGAGAACATTGTTGAATGGGAACTAAAAAAGTCTTTGTCTTTTGGTTTCTTTTGTATCTCAAAGGGAGTCTGACAAGAGACGACACGGGCGGGCAAGGAGTCCATCCCCAAAACGAGGAGGAGGAGAAGGAGGAAGGTACCAGAGAAGGCCTCACTCTGATCACCCCAGGTATTCAAACTGCGGCTCCACACAAACATGTCACTAGAAACTCGAGTATGATCTTCGTGGGGCTAAAATCCAGCTTTAAGGCTTGTTTGAAGCAAATGTTAGCCAGGATGTGTGTTTAGTCTTTCATATTAATTTAAAGACGATGGTAATAAGAGAACTGGCTCCTCAGGCCCTGACAAGCGGGCAGTGGAGCTGTGATTTCATTCTCTCATTCACTCCCTTACTGGGTTGAACACAACAGTTTGCATTTATAAAGCTCCCTTCATGCAGCAATGGTGCCGGACACTGGGTGGGGAGGTTGTGGGAAGAGGGAGGTGAACATAGCCGCAGCTGAAGAGGTAGGAATTTAAGACAGCTTTTAACGGTGGAGAGGGACAGACGAGCAGGAAATTGAGGGTAAAGAAAATTACAGTGATAGAGTGAAATGTAGATAAGGGTGAGGATTTTGAAATCGGTCTTGTTAGAAAGCCGTGGAGCCTGGTGACAGTGGGGATGATCAGCATTTGAAGCTCTGTGTGGGTGAGGATCCTGTGTTTAGGATGAGCTGGAGCTTGTGGATGGTGGAGCTGGGGAGGCTGGTGAGGAGGCAATTTCAAAAGTCGAGTGTAGAAGTGATGAGAGTGAATACGGAGTTCAGCGCCTTGAGACGTCCCCCAATGTGAAAAGCGCTTTACAAATTTAATTTTGTTGTTGTTGAAGTAGATGGGGATCGGCGATGTAACAGAGATACAAAAAATTGGTCTTCATTAGGGAGAAGAGGGAGAGAGAGTTGAGGGATAGACCATACTCAAAGGCTGTACACAGGTTCAGTGAGTTTTGCTCCATGTGCAAATGAAAGTACTGTATATTATGCACTGTGTGTAAACACATGTGAAGAGTGGGGATTGCTCTGTGAGTTGCTCTACACCTGTGTGCTCTGGTTCACAGGAAGTTCCCAGCAGAGGAGCTCGAGCAAAGGCGACTGGAGATGATGGAGAACGCAAGATGGCGGGATGAAACCCGCCAGCAGAACATCAAACGCTACAAGCAGGAGGAAGAGAGGGAGAAAGAACTGGAGAAAAAGGACAATGGAGAAGGCAAATTCTTGCAGTAAGTATCTACGTGTGTGTGTGTGTGTGTGCACGCGCACCCACTGATGCATTAAGATGGAACACACTGAAACATTTGTGTGAGCACTAGCCCTTTTTATTGTGTTTCTAGCCTTTCTGTATTAAATAAAGCAGGAGGTGCATAGAGTTGCGGAGATGGACATTTGGTTTCCCGACCGTCCCAGTAGTTGACCCACTGCAAGGAGTCTGCCATCGTAAACTTTGCCTTTCTCTCCAACGAAGGGAGATAAGTAAGACAGGGAGGCTTGCTTCATGCTGTGCAGAGGGTGGTGAGAAGGTGGGATTTGTTGGCACAGCACACCGTCGAAGCAAAACCCATAAGTTCTTTTGAATTGGATAGTTGCTTGAAGAGGAGGAATATTGAAAGGAGAGCAAGCGAGAGAGGATTAGATTGGGTGACTCATGTAGAAAAACACACCAGTGCAGACATAATGGCTGAATGGCTTACATTTGTGCTGTATTCTATATTGCTCCGAGCAGAGAGCTAAAGTGCAGCTTTGGCAGAGGTCAGGCGTGGATGAAATGGAGGGTAACCTTTTATTGAACGGGTTTCAGAAAAAAACTAGGCTTTCAGCTTGTGGAGGCCAGGCTCTATTGTATTTCTGTTGGTCTACAGCAAAATGAAACTTCAAAGTGCTGCCACCTCCTCGCTTGAAGATCGTGTGAAACGCAACGTCCATTCCATCCAGCGGACATCGGCAGCGCTGGAGAAAAACTTCATGAAGAGATGAGGATGGGGTGGGGTGGGAGGTGGGGGAAGGTGGGGGTTGAGAGGGGGGCCTGGGGAGAGGGTGGGCTTATCAATGACGTGAACTGGAGAAGCGAGCGCTGAGAATATTGGCCGATGACCACAAATCAGTGCCTTGATGTTCCGATGAAAGGTGCTTGTGGTGCCTTTCTCTGTAAGGAGAATCAAAAAGAAAACCAGTGGACGCGGGTGGGGCTGTTATATGTCTCGGGGTAATTTGACTCTAAGACTTGGCATTCAGGCTACAATGATTTTCTCTGGTCCACAAATGCTGTTGAGCTGGCAATCGAGGAGCCTTGCAAATGAGGTTCCCTTTTCCTTTTTTGGAGAAAACTTTCCCTTTCTGCCCCTCATTTCTCCCCTCCCTTCCCCTCGCCCCCATACGCACACACCCCGAGGCTGCTGCAGCGCTGTGAGTAACGTTAACTGGGACTGGGTGGTGAGGTTTGGAGTGCGGGTGTGTCTGTAGTGATTGAAACAAAGGAGAAATTGCCCAAAAGGAAATGCCCACCTAGTAACCTCTTGAGTGAACTGCAAGAATTGGGAGGGGCAATGTGAACTGTTTCCAACATAAATTGGGTCAGGAGGGTCAGAATTTTATTCTGGTCACTTGGGTATCTGTGCACGAGTGGAAACTCATCACCGTGCCAAAGAGTATGAGTAGCTGAACCAGAACGAGGGTTCCACATATGTGTGTCACTTGAACATGGAAATCACCCCATGTCTGGAATAGAATGTGCACTCTCTCTCTCTCCCGTGGAGGGACTCACACCATGCTCACCTAAATCCGGGGAGTATTATGCATAGGCATCAGAGAGTAATCCATCCCAGCAGCTTCTATGCAGTTTGTGCTTTTACAGATGTGCTTTTTATAGACCTGTCTGGGTTTCGAGCTTACTGTACAATTTACAATTATATAGTCCCTTTCATGTCGGGGAGGACTTCTCAAAGCTCTTGCTCTCTTGTGACGGGAAGAATTGTGCTCCTTTTGAATAAGGCTTTCTGTTCAGAAGGCAGCAGCAGATAAACATGACCCGATTATTTAGAGGACGGCCCGAACCTGGAAGTGTTACAATTCTCATTTCAGCAGAACAGAGATCATGAATCGTGAGAACATAAATGAGCAATTTAATATTGTAAAAACTTCCAAAATTCAGTCGCAGACGAACCCTGGTCTCCAGTGAGAGTTGATGTATATAAACGTACAAGGTGTGAAACTCATTTGCCATTTTGCTTTGCCTCCCATCGTATCTCGACCGAGGACAGGCAGACAGCCCCTCACTCCTCTTCCCCTCCCCGGCGGCATTTCCAGTGCTCTATCTGAAGAGTCTTTGTTTGGTTTTGTTCCCTGCCTCCTCCCCCCACGGAGAAAGGCTTCCACTCGGCCTGACATTGAAGAATTGTAGCCACAAACTGGTACCTGCACTCGCTCAGCAGAGAACTTAAATCTACCAGTGACGCACCCCACCACCACACACACACACACACACATGTAGCAGAAAGACAGGACCTCATTTACTCAGGGCACCTCAATGACAGGAGACTCAAGATTTCCAGCAGTTATCGCACCACAAAGTGACCAGAAAGACAAATGCTCTGTTACAGTAACCAGTCCACGTTACAAATAATGATTGCTTGTATTTGGGTATTGAGGCACTGTGCTGTTTGTACAAATTCCTGTCCACTGTACAGCAGGAACTTGTGGGGTTTAGGATATATTTGTGTAATTTTTCTTATTCAGGCTGGTTTGTAATACTATAAAAGCGCGACTGCAAAGGGGGCAAGTTTTAATCAACATTCAAAATTCTTTTACTTTTGTGACTTTTTTGTAAATTTGAATCCCAGTAAAGCTCTTTCCACATCGGTGTGTATGTCTGTGAATCAACAACAACAAATTACATCTGTATACAACAACAAGATTACATTTTTACAGCGCCTTTCACGTCGGGAGGACGTCCCAAAATTGACAATACTGCACTTTGTGAAGGTAGGAGACGTTCATCATAATAAGAATGGAATGTAGCACACTGCATAACAATTTTATAAGTGCAGGTATAAACAGGCATGTGGAATAAGGAAACTAAGGTTTCACTCTGCCGGGAATCAAAGCTTGCGTGTTGCGTACTCTAATGAATATACTGCAGGACTCAATATCCTTTGACAATCTTCATGCTACCAAACTAGCAAGTTGCCCACCTGCCTTCATTAATAATTGGGTCAGTTGTCAAAGCTTTTAATTAGTGCTACACCCATTGCGGACACCAACTAATTAGGTGATATTGCTTAACTGAATGGGTGTTTTCACCGCCTTGTGAAATTGAAGCCAATTTATGTTTTCAGGACCAGATTACCTCATTTGATCTTCAGCCTCTCCTTCTGCTTTTCTGTTTTGCTTGTCCCATATCTATTTACATTTTCACCGAGTGTCTCTTGACTCTTATTAATGATGACCTGAGTCTTTGAGTCAATCATTTACGTCTATGACAGGCCCATGTAATTGCAGATTAATTTCCCTTTGAACCTTGTCAAATTTCACAGTGGGGATTCCACATTAGATCCTGGTAACTATGAACCACTGCTTGCACTAGCTGTCACATTCAATAACAGACAGAGAGAGAGAGTATCCCAATTTCCAGATTCTGAGAAATTATCAATTAATTTCACTGGGTGGAGCTCTAACTGAATATTTGCATCTAAACGTGAAAGTACTGACAATAGAAACGTATCAGCTCGGTTTAGTTTGTAGAATTCTGTTTTTTGGGTCAGAAGGTTGAGATTCAAATCCGCCCCCCCCCCCCCCAACCTATCTCTGCAGCCTCGCCACCAACCCCCCCCCCCCCCCCCCCCCGCCGCATCAACCTGACCACAACCCTCCACCTCGCTGCCCCCCCTTCAAGAATTTTTTTTTTAAAAAAAATTATTTTGATTCACGACTGTTTGTGGGACACTGCTGTGTGCAATTGGCTGCCGTGTTTTGCCCACAAAATACAGTACAGTCACTACACTTTATAATATATTCTGTGAAGCACTTTGAGACTTCTCAACAATGTGATTAGGTGCTATATCAAATGCAAGAATTATTATTATTATGTCAAACTGAGGCTTTATTGCTTTGCTTTATGTCTGAGAATTCTGAATTTTAAATAAACAAATTCAAGGAGATATAAAAGCCCTATCAAAGATATAATATCTAGTCTACCTTAAAAATTAAAAAAATGATTAGACTTAACCTTTTTTACTGTCACTATTCCAAAAGCAGCTGCACAGTCAGGGAATTAGTCCTGGACAAGGGGTTGGGATGGGGGGTGGGCGGTGGAGGGCAGGGAGGGTAGGTGTAGGGAGGTGGCCAAAGGTGCCGGTCAAAGGAGAGTCTTCAGACGTGCCTTGAAGGAGGCAAGGCAGGGAGCAAGGTTCCAGAGTTCCACATATGTACGCCACCCAAATACGGACATTTCCCCATATCCGGAATAGAATGCGCACTCTCACCTGGAGGGACGCAGTCTGGTTACCTAATACCAGCGAATTGGTTGACGAGCTGAAGCTTGGGATCTGGAGTTTTCTTGGGGTAGTGAGTGAATGAGTCAAGTCCTAACATCCCAAGGCTATTCACAAAAACTCCTGCAAACTGAAGTGATGGTGTATTAGAGGCAAATGTTTGATACGTTAATGAATACCAATGTGTTAATAAGCAAATCACACAATGTAATATTCACCCAAATGCTATTTTTGACTGGAGCTAGAGACTTATCGCATTTTAAAAATATATGGCTAAAGTGGAGTCCTGTAGCTCAGTGGTTAGAGCACTCGCCTCGCAAACTAGAGGACCTGGGTTCAATTCCAGGGCAGGGTGAAACCTTAGGCAAGTTTCCTTACGCCATATGCCTCTGTTCACCTAGCAATAGGTAGGAACCTGATTGTTGGTTGATTGGCGGATCCCTTAAAAAAAAATTTGGTCACTCAACCCATGACTGTTTGTGGGACACTGCTGTGTGCAATTGACTGCTGCGTTTCGCCCACAAAATATACAATCAATTCATTTTATAGTATATTCAGTGAAGCGTTTTGAGACGTCTCGAAGACGTGACGCTATATCAAATGCAAGGATTATCATTATTATTTACAACCTGGGAATCGTTAGACCAGCCTGATCTGTTATCTTTACACCTACTTTCCAGCAGAGGTCACTCGACAGCAACCATAGTCCTGAAATCTCTCGTACACTTGCTCTTAAAATCACAAGATTGATTTGGATAAAGAAGATCTTTCGGTCCATCTGATCCCATTCTTCGAGAACACCCATCCTACCGTACCCTCATCAAAGCATCGAGCTACTTTTTAAATGAATCTAGTGCCCTGGCCTCAGCCACTTTTGGCAACCTGTTCCAGTTGAGTATCGAGGAAGAAAACTTCCTGGTGTCTGTCCAGAAATTGCCCATTTACAACTCTAAACCTTTTTTTACTGCTTTGGTGCATCCTAAAGTATTGATATTAATAATCCTTGCAATTGAATGAAGAATATTTTTAAGGGATTATTATCACCTGAAAAACAATCCGCCAATCGAATAACAATCGGGTTCCTATTTACTGCTGGGTAAACAGAGGTGTGTGGAGTAAGGAAACTTGCCGAAGGCTTCACCCTGCCCGGGAATCGAACCCAGTTTCACTCGCTCGCAAGACGACTGAGCAAACCACTAGACTGCAAGGACTCAATTTAACAGCAAGAGACCTATTGTCTGAGCTTAGGTAATGCCTTTGATACCATTCTGAAAAAGAACTGAAGGATCTTTCAAGGTCTTGTTCACCACCACCTCCAGCCCCATTCCCCCCCCAAAAAAATATGTGAGCATTGATCTCATTGATCTTTGTAGGATGTGGCTGGTTTAGACAACCCCCGTTTGCTGGCTTTTCACCAATTTAAAACTGAACACGGATCTTCCTGTATGATTTGCTACCATTGGTTATGTATCTTCAGACCTTCTCGATGCAATTATGTTTATCTTAATACACACACACACATAGATATATGTTTACCACCGCCTCGAACCGTCTCTTTCAATGGATTACCACACTACGAAATCCCGAAAGGCTCCTTCATGCAACTTTTGCCATCCGCGGGACTCTGCTCGTGCCTCACTCCAGGGAGAGAGAGCGCATTCCATTCCACCGATCTGTCTCTGGGATTGCCATGTGGAGGTGGGAATGCTGGAATTCTCTGCTTGGTTTGGAGACTCTTAAGCACGGTGATGGCTTTCCAAATATCCCTCAGCCTCGCGTCGTCTCTATCTTCTTAAAACCTACCTCTTTGACCGCGCGGGTGGTCACCCGCCCCTTCCGCCTCGCTCGCCGTCCGACTCTGCAACTGCGAAGCGCTCCGAGACACTCTCCCAGGGTTGTTCTTGATGTTGAATGTCACCCGAGGGGGAGAAAAAAATATCTTCGGAAATTCCTGTGTGATAAGACGCGACGAGATGGAAGTTAAGGCGGCGGGGGATTGATCGCCTACTAATTACTTATTCCGTTGTATCACCGACACTCTTGAGGGCTGAAAAGATGGGCTTCAAAATGTGCGAAAGTCGCAGGAAGGGTCTCAGTGGAAGCGATGAGAATTTATGTTCTGTTATCTGTGTCCTCGGTGGACAACTGACACAGAGCCGGATAGATTAACGCGGATTGTGGATAAGTGGTAGGTGGCAGTGTTTTCTTCTTCTTGGGCGAGAGAGAGAGGGAGGAAAAGAGAGAAGGAAGGAAGGAGGGAAGGAGGGAGGGAGGGAGAAGGAAGGGTGAGGGCTGGTGTTCATTTGGTTGTAGCACCATCTTGTAGCAGCAGGAGGAGCAGCCTGTGTGCTGGGAGAAGGGAGACAGACAGACAGACAGACACACACACACACACACAGACAGAGGCAAAGAGACATTCAGAGGGGTTCTGGGCTTCTTGTCCTGTCTGCTTCACAGCAGCTAAAACATGGCACTGCTCAGCCCGGAGCTGCACCGCGCCACACACACACAGACCCGCTAGTGGACAGCCAGGAGGGAGGGAAGAGACCACACACACAACACACACAAAAAAGGGAAATACTTGTTTCTGAAAAGAAAGGGAGGGGGGGGGGGGGGAAAAGGAAAAAATACATACACAGATCTCTCACACACACACACACACACATATGTGTACGTTTGATTTCATTGTTTTTTTGACGCGAAAATGGCAGCCAACTGTACGACAACCAGTGCCAGCAAAACCAAGACCAAGAAAAAGCACTTTGTAGCCCAGAAAGTGAAGCTGTTCCGAGCCAGTGAGCCGCTGCTCAGTGTGCTCATGTGGGGCATCAACCACACCGTGAGTAGCCGCAGTTATCTCTCTCTCTATATATATATTTGTACAAAAAAATGCTTACGGTCGACCTTTAGTGAATAATAACCAACACACACACACACACACACCGAATAATAATAATCTTATTTGTGTTGTGTGACTGGGTGTTGTGTGGGAGGGAGTGGAGTGGAGGGAGTGGGGGGGCAGAGAGGACAAGATGTGCTGAGGGGGGGTTTGAGAGGATGGACTTTGAAACGCCTTTGATGGAGTTGCCGTTGGGGGGCGTCGCTTCGCTCAGACCGTCGGATTTCGGGGGCTCTTTATTTTTTTATATATGAAGATTAAACGCACGATTTCGAGCTGCATTTTTTTCTGGGGGGGGTGGGGGTGGTGGTGGTGGAGGGAGGGAGGGGGTGGTGGGGTGGGGTGGGGTAGTAAGGTTTATCTTAAACAGGGAAACCTTGTTTTATTTAATGGCAGATGAAGAGGAAAAGGGGGAGAGAGAGAGAGAGTGTTGTAAGTGAGTCGTGGCTGGAAGATGGGGGGAGAAAAAGAAAAAAAAAGGGGCCTTAAAACCGACGATGAGTCACTTGGAAAAGATAATAAAACACCACTTTGTTTGCGTGTCAAATAATTATTTGAGAGGGGGCTCGAGAGATGGTTTCATACCAGTGAGCCTCTCCCTCTAATGGAGACAGACCGACAGAGAGGAGGAGGGAAGATTTGTGTATAAATATATATATATATATATATACACACACACACACACACCCCAAACCCCAACCCCGAACAGACCCAATCCCTGGGGTCGGGGTTGAAAGGTTTTTGAACGTTTTCTGAGGTAAAATTTTTCTAGAAACGTGTTTTTTTTTTTGGGGGGGGGGGGGGGTCTGAAGCGGTTTTGTCGAACGGCCGTCGGTTTGGCGGGAGAACGGCTCTAAAACCACTTGAAACCCAACGTTCAATTAAACTCTTCCCCCACACCCTTCTCTCCCCCCCACTCTCCCCCCCCCACTCTCCTCTCCCCCACTCTCTCTCCCCCCCACTCTCTCTCCCCCCCACTCTCTCTCCCCCTACTCTCTCGTCTTCTCTCCCCCCCCCCACTCTCTCTCCCCCCCCACTCTTCCCCCCCCCACTCTCTCTCCCCCCCCACTCTCTCCCCCCACTCTCTCCCCCCCCCCCTCCTCTCCCCCCTCTCCCCCCCCACTCTCTCTCCCCCCCCCACTCTCTCCCCCCCACTCTCTCCCCGCCCCACTCCCCCCCACTCCCCCCCCTACTCTCTCGTCTTCTCTCCCCCCCCCCCCTCCACCCTTTTTTGGTGTTATTTCAAGGTCTTGATATTTTCATTGATTCAAATACGTTGTTACTCATCACCTCATTATTATTATTATTATCTGCCCCCCCCCCTCCTCCCTCTTCTTTTCAACCCCTTTCCTTTAATAACAATAAGACATGTTATCATTAATTCATGGTAATAATAAGGACCGTCAATCAATCAAATCAATCAATTACCTCGTTTTGTCTTTTCTCATCGTTAATCATAATATATATATTTTTAAAAATCGTCTGGTCTATTTGGTTGGTGTTTGCCCCCTTCCCCCCCCCCCACATACCCCAACACACACACACACACACCAACCCCCAACCCTCTCTATCCCTCCGGGGGGGGAGGCGTCTCCAGCCCGGGCTCTGCCCACAGGAAAGTCCGCAGGCTTCTGCGGCCTTGTCCTCCCCCCCACCCCCACCCCCACATGGCTGCCTGACATTAATCATTAAAGATGTCTATTTCCAAAGCTCTCATCAGCACATATCAGCAGCAGAACAGCACAGTTATCTGCAGAGGCACAGCAGCGATTTCTAATGTTTAATGAAAAAATTTTTTAAAAAATAAAGAAACATTGCAGGCATCATCTCCTGTGTGCCCCCCCCCCCCCCCCAGCTCTCTGTGCGGATGAGGCTGCTGTTTTTTTTATGTAATACTAATTTATATATTTAATGCCGCATTTCCATTCATTTCTTTCCTTTGACAAGGCGCTGGCGGCTGGGCGCGGACCTTTCATTTGGAAACCCTCTCTTTTTAATCTCCTCCCCGCCCCTGTCCGTCTCCGCACACGCTTGTATATTTTGTTTCGGACTATTAACTGTATTAATAACAATAATCCTTGCATTTGACACGCCGCATTATTCCATTGTCTAGACTTTTGAAAGCGCTTGACGGGGTTTACTGTAAAGGGCAGCGACTGTATCGTGTAGGTTAGTGTGACAGCATTGATGCGAATGATTTTTTTCCTGGAAGATCGTTAGCCAGGACACCAGGAGAGAAACTCTCCTCACTTTTTGAATAGCGAATTCAAGATCCTCACCCTCACCTACAAGGCCATTCACGGCCTCGCTCCCTCCAACCTCTCCGACCTACTATCCCCCTACCTACCCGCCCGTACCCTCCGTTCCTCTGGCTCCGGTCTGCTCCACATCCCCCGCCCCAACCGCCCTACCATCGGTGGTCGGGCCTTCAGCCTCTCAGCCCCGAGGCTCTGGAACTCCATCCCCCAGTGCCTTCGCCGCTTCCTCCCTCTCCTCCTTCAAGGCCGGTCTCAAGACCTTTCTCTTTGACCGTGCCTTCAGCTCCCCTCTCGACTCTCTACCCCCTCCTCGCTCCCTCCCTTCCCTCCCCTCACCCTGACCATTTCCCCCACTGCTTGGGTCCTGACTCAACTGTACAGCGCCTTGGGACGTCCTCCCGACGTGAAAGGCACTCAATAAATGGAATCTTGTTGTTGTTGTAGCGCCGTGGGATCTTAAATGCCCACCGGAACAGGCACAGACGGGATCTCGGTTTAATGTCTCCTCCGAAAGACGGCACATCCTCAGCATTTCCCCTCCCCACCCCTGCCAAACATTGGAGTGCCAACCGAGCTGACCTCAGAGATTCATCTCTTGTCTTCATGGCCTTGACTTTTGCTGAGGTCTGGTTCCCCTGTAGTATTTCACTCAAGTGGCTGCCCATACTTTATGAGCGAGCCCTGACGACAAGATGGGCTCAAATGACTAGTTTGCACCAAATCCTGTGAACATCCAGGCTGAGGTGAGCTAAATCAGTGGAAACTAAGGTTATTCCTGGTTTGATGGTTGAGTTATACCCCAGAGGTTGCCCACAGGTAACCTGTCGAGCCAGTTGCCTTAACCCTACCTTTAAAACTGCTGTGGAGGTTGATTTCACTTTCTAGCCAGAGAGGAGAAAAAATTGCAGACTCTTGACTACAAACAACCTTTAGATTATAATTACAGCAATAAACCGCCGTTGTTGCAACCCCATGATTTTGAGGAAAAGGCGTAGATAACAATCCTCAGTCTTCTGGATAAGGGGTCATGTTTGCAATAAAACATAATTAGTATAATCAGCAATTAATTTTGTGAGGCCAGCGAAACTGGGTCAAGAACCAGGAGGTAGATAACCATGCCAACTATACCAGTAGACTTTCTCTTTTCTCTCCCAACATATATAAAATAAATTGCTCAAAGTTTTTTTTAATATAAAATTGTTGCCCTTTTATCACCAAACAGTGCCAAGATTTCTCCATTTCTATGGCAGTACTAATTGGGACTTTGAGCTCATAGGCTGATGCACCAATGCTATACTGGTGAGGTGCTTGCCTTTCAGATAACACATTGAAACATGGTCTAGCCTGCCTCTTCGGGTGCACGTTGAAGATTCCACGACGCTTTGATAAAACAGAAGGGAGTCCTGGCCAGCAATCCTCTTGATAATATTGGTCATTCATCTCGCTGTGGGCTTGTGGGATCTTACTGTGTGCGCAATGGCTATCATGCTTACCTTAAAAAAACAGTAACTGCACTTGACAATAATTACTATAAAGCACTTGAGACATTTTGATGCTTTACATGCTATATATAAAAAAAAGTTCTTCTGTTCACCTTGTTTAAAATGAATGTCTTTGGTGGAGGAATCGCATTGGTAAAATTGCCCCGTTATTGGCATGTTGAGGGTGACTACTAATTTTTTTAAAAAACTTGCCTTCAATACAAGCACCTTTCACATCAGGGGGTCACCTCAAAGCACTTCACAGGATATACTGTAAAGTTTAGTGACTGTATTTTGTAGGTGATTGCAGGAGCCATTCTCCCTACAGCAACGTGCCGCAAACAGTCACAAAGTGAATGGCCACTTTTATTTGGTGGATTGTTGGCCAGGACACCAGGAGAAAGTCTATGCTCTTTGAGTTCTGCCATAGGATCTTTAACATCCACCTGAACAAACACAGACAGGACCTCAATTTAATTCTCATCCAGCACCTCCAACAATGCAGTACTCTCCCACCACTGCATTAGTGTTTCACCCTAGACTATTTGAGTTCAAAGTCCCGATTATGGGCCTTGAACACAGAAACTTCTCTCTATCTTAACACGCGCTTGCTGTTTTCTGCCTAATGCTATCTTTATTTTGGAGTCTGGTTCAACATGACCACTACTGATGTGGTGTTACATCTCTTGCCTACATGTGCGGTTCCATTTGGATACCCACTAGAGAGCAGGTGAAAAGAGCCTCATTATATCCATGTTTGGTTGTCCTTGCTGACCATTGCAATATTCTCTGTTTGACTGGCTTAAATAGTAACATTCACTTCAAGGATTCTTGCATTGAGACCCAATTGTTACTCAACATCACCTATGTTCATGTCTTCATCACCTCCAGGCTCGACTATGCAAACGCCCTGCTTGTCGGCATTCCCAACTCCTCCCTCCACAGGCTGCAGATAATCTAGAACTCTGCAGCCCGTGTCCTCTCCCGCACCAAACTCCGTGACCCAATCTCCCCCATTTTCGCCCAACTCCACTGGCTTCCTATCCTTCAGGAGATCCAGTTCAAGATCCTGGTCCTCTTGTATCTGATCAAACTTTGACTCATGCAGGTATCATAAGGTTTACCGCTTGCCAGTTCACTGAGTTAGCGGACCTTCTAGCTTTTAAGAACTGGCAACAAAACAGTATTAGATTAATTTCCA